GTAACGACCCAGTTCATCCACGTGATCTGCTGCAGCTGAGGACACATGATCTGAATATTCTAGTTTTCAGGCAGTCGTCCCCTGAAGAGACGATGGACAAAGCTGAAACTGTCTGACAGCCCTGCTGGCGGGAGAGCCTTTTATTTCCTTACATCAACAATGAGTCTCTTCCATCTAATGTGAAAACTGCAAGACGACAAAAAAAGACCAGCTGTCGCAGAGAATGAAGCAGATTTGGAAAATGCGCTGCTTTCTCTGCTAAAAGTGGTTTGTAAAGCAAACCTGAGGTGAAATGTTGCCGCGGTGCAGAGAGCAGCACAGAGTCACACAGCTGCTCCTGAAAGTCATCGTGTTGAACTAACTGTACATGCAAAAAGTGAAAGAAATGGTTTAATTAAATAAAAAAACAACCTTCTGGTCCGTTCGCTGCACGCTTGTCACGGTGAAACTTGTCACTGAGAAACGACCTCGTCTTTGTCAACTTAATCTGCGATCGCCGAGTTGTCGGCTAAACGGGAACATGAGTAAATATTTGAGCCTTAGAGAAGGTAAATGCAGACAATTCAATGTGCTGAGCAATAAGCTGTTGTAATAAAGTTCGTATCTCTCCTAGCACAGTTTGCTCAGACTCGCTTCTCACATATTCAAATGTTCTTAAGGACTGTGATCATAATCAGACACGGTGCTCACCTTATAAGGCACCGTGACAGACTGTGGGGAAGCTCTATTTGCATGGAACTGAGGTGTGTGTGTGTGTGTGTGTGTGTGTGTGTGTGTGTGTGTGTGTGTGTGTGTGTGTGTTGGCAGCTCACCTTTCTGTGGCACGTGTAAAGTTTCTGCGAGGAAGGAACGAGTCCTGCATGACATTAGTCCAACTCGCTGTTTATGGACAGTGAAAGTCAAAACATTCAGCCGTTTGGTGAAAACACGGATCTGAAGTTACGAAGGACAGAAAACAGGATGTAGGCGTTTCATCGTGTGCTCAGTACAACGAAACCACTTTGTGTGAAGTTAAAGGACTGAGTCTTTATGTCAGGATAGTGTAACCAGTCAAGTCTTTGTTTTTTTTTTAATTTATTTTAAAATTGTATCTTGCACTAGTTTTATTTCTAAAAGCAAAACGGGTTCATCCAAACCATAAACTGAAACTGGTTTTAAAGAGTTGAATATTGGCCTAAAATTAAAATTGTCTTGTGTGTTTGCACTTAGATTAACCCTAATGTTAGCTTCTAAGGAGCTGGAGAGAAAAGCGACCGAGAGGCTTCTCGGCTCAGAGGTGAAACATCTTAAAGAAACTTTATGAAGTCTAGTCGCTTGACCTGGATGTCTGAGAACCTACACAGATACATTAAGAGTAAGATAAAACATCATGTTAGTGAATGTACTCACAGATGTACCCATATGAACCTATGGGTGAACCTAATCTTTGCTTATGTCAGACACAGGATCAAAAGTTAAACTGATTGCGGCTCCGCTGATGATTATTCTGATGATTAAGCTGCAAATGAGTTTCTCTAATCTTCATGTTTGAGACTTCACAAAGCTTGTTTTATCTGTGAAACAGCATAACTCGGACTTTACTGAGGCACAAAGAAAATACAAGGTTAATTTTTTCTTCTTTATCAGCTGATTGACTTTTTCACCCAGATCTGATCTTGTTTTGATCCTTTTGCAAAAGCAGTGACTCATAAATGTTGTCAAAATTCAGCAACATCTGTATAGCTGCTTTAAGTGTGTGTGTGTGTGTGTGTGTGTGTGTGTGTGTGTGTGTGTGTGTGTGTGTATTCATATCTTTGTGGGGATCAAAAATTAGAAGTTTACTTTACTCATAGGGACCAAAATCCAGGTCCCCACAAGTTTGAAAATATTTTTGAAACTCAAAATGTGGTTTTAGTGTCAGGGTTACAGTTGGGTTATGGGTAGGTTCAGGGTCAGCAGCTGGGGAAAGCTTTGTGTCAATGAGATGTCCCACAAGATATGAAAATGAGTGTGCATGTGTCTCTTTTATGGCTATCATAAAAATAAAGCTCAGGGGACGTGACCGTGTGAGAAGCTGACTTTGTTGTGTGTTTTCTGACAGATGCCAGCACCTCGTCTGAGATCATTCTCAGCTGTTTTTTCCTTGTCCTGCTCCTTTACGTCTGGTTTGTGCGTGCGTGTGATTTACTGATGACCCTTCCTTGGCATTCCAGCCATTCCCCTGGTACCTGGGAAGTGGTCTGTTCCCCAGCGCGATATTTTTAGGTCCTGCGAAGCAGCTGTCAGCGTTTCTGCTTGCACACACAACCCTGCTGTCTGCTGACTGAAAAATGTGGTGAGGCTGAAGATGCAATCTGCCTCTGCCTCAGTCGGGCTCTCATCCAGATTACATAGATGTAATCGGAGGGAGGTATGTGTAATTACAGCGGCGATGGGGACGGTGCTAAATCTGCTGAGCCATAAGGTGTGCTCACCAACAATCCAGTTCTGTGTTTGTTTGTGCTTCTTTCACACAACACTGAGTCATGTTGGTCCTGCTGCAATCTGAGCTGAGCTTTCTGCTCCACAGAGGAGCAGAAAGCTCAGCTCAGATTGCAGCAGCCGCTCGCAGCCCGAGACGTGGCGTAGTTGATCCTGGAATATCAGCACGAAGCGATCTGTTCAGTTATCACAGCTCATGTTGGAACTAAGAGCAACAAATGCCAAATAATAGAGAGAGAGGTGAACAGTGTGGGTCCTTTGTGTGATAGTCTAACATTTAGAGTGTGTCTCAGCTGGTCAGGCTGCTTTTGGAGTAACTATCTATGAGCACAAATTGTTGTACCTGAAGAGGACTGGTACTGATGCTTATACAGCAACGTCTGAAGGTGTGCTACACGAACATGTTGTTTCTTCAAGCACATGCTTTCCAACTCGTAGGGCTTAATAACAAAAGAAAGAAAAGCAGTCTTTGAAAGAAAATTAAATTATTTTGATGAATTCATTTGCAAAAATGTTTTCAGAAGGCTGCGTGTAATGATATTCACTAAATGAGTGGCACAGTGTATTCAGTATAAATGATTTGATGCTGTGCGATGCTGCAGGGTATAAATAAAAATAAAACTGTCAGCGATCAGAACAAAGTGACAACGAAAGAAAACAGCAGTGAGAAGAGTCAGTAGCTGCAGGGACCCGTGAGGGACGGCTGGATTTAAACCGCTGAAACTTACAGACGGTCACAGTGTGAGTGTCCTGTGCTACATGTGCTTATGGAAATCCATCCGAACACTACCGATAAACCACATTAGTTATTCATTCATAATTAATGTCAATAAATTGTTCTTTTATTAACTCGACTGTCTGTCGACCTGCAACTCACAAGAATCACTGATCCTCCTACGGGATTCACACGATAACGAACTGAGAGGTTTTCACCCCGATTGATCACTTTTGTTGTTTTACGGGCAACAACCTGAGAGTTATGAGTAGGGATGGGTATCGTTTAGGTTTTATCCGATACCAGTACCAAACCGGTACTTTTGAAACTGTGCCGGTGCTTAAACGGTGCTCGAACCGGTGCTTAAAGAATCAAGAACACAAAATTGGTCCAAAAACCTCTCATGTTCAGCTGTTTTCCACTTTTTCTTTGGTCCTTTTAGCCTTTTTGGCCAGGGTGAAGGGAGTATCTGCCATCAAACAAGAAGACAGCCGCATGTAACTATGATGATGTTTGCTAGTTCACCTTACATGCATTAATGTAATAACGTGGTTAGCCTACTCAACGTAAATTACACACGAACAACATTAAGCTACTCATGCAGAGAAGAACGGCTGCTGCTGCATCATCATCCTCATCATTTCTGCTACACTGGCAGGGCTAGGGGCCAGGACTCTCCTCTTCGGGTTTTTGGGGGATGTTGCTAACTCCGGGTCTGATAACAGGCACCACACCCACAGTAGATGTGCTCGGTGTGAGGTCTCGCAGCAAGCTATCAAATACGGCGCATTTCTCGGCTTTTAAAAAAACGCTATGCGTCGCCAGGTGTTTGATCAGATTCGAGGTGTTACCTCCTTTGACAGTATCACAGTATCAGCTTAAAGCACTTGTTGCTGCTGAGTTTGCATATTTTGCTGTGAAGTACAGCCAGACTTTTGACCGCTTCGCCTTGGGCATCTTTAATCTGTAGCTCTGCTCTAAAAGAGCGTACGTACCTGGACCCGCCTACTACGCTTGCAAAGGTAAAATGATTGGCTAGAATTCAAAGTGTATCACATCTCAGGAAAAAAAAGCACCGAAATATGTGCGCTGCTTTTCGGTCTGGTTACTACCGTTTATGTCAGAACCGGATACCGGTACCCATCCCTAGTTATGATGGACTGTGAGTCAGACGAGCTTCTGCACACAGATGCTGTGGTTACGTTTAACTTGAAGTTGTGCTGTTCAAACGCTAAAATGCTGTGATATGACAATATGAAGACCGTCGAGCGGTAAAGCAGTTTAAAAAGTGCATCAGAGAGACACTCGTGTTATCAAAAGGAAACTTTAAACACGCAAAAGGTCTTTTTGTGAAGCGTTGAGTTCCCTCGTGCACTGATGACCAATCGCTGTGATGTTTTGAGGGAGAACAAAAGAAATGAGTAATATTTGTGGCCATATGTTAAATGACTTTTGCCGCCTTTGGAAGCGCGAATGCTCGAATAGCTTTTCTATAACTGAAGGTCACGTGTGTGTAACGTGCAGGACTGGCTTATAGAAGGTGAGCGATTTACCCGTCATGCCCGTACGCACACGATTCATTAACTTCTTTTAATAATTTCTTTTTATCCAGATGGTAGAAGCTGGTTTCACTTTTACTTTCACCCTGAACCTTTGAGTGTCTCTGGTGTTTACAGCAGACGATCAGGAGAAAAATGTCTCAAACTCGAGCGAACTTGATTCTGAGGCCCCGACTGGCATCGCTTTTGTTACTTTTGCCATGTTGGTTTGCTGTTTCTCGACTTACTGCTAACAGACGTGTGTGTCTGTGTGTTATTTTCGGCAGGGGGAGAAGAATGCCGGCTTTGATGTGCTCTACCACAACATGAAACATGGCCAGCTGGCAACCAAGGAACTCGCCGAGTTTGTCCGAGAGAGGTGAGGTTTGTGTGTATTTGTGAATATCTGTGTGGGAGGTGGTGCAAGTGATGAGATTTGGGTGGAAAATCCACCGTTCTTTACTACGTACATGGATATAAAGATTGTGCCAAGTTGGAAGAAATACTGGAAAATACCAAAAAGCATTCTGATCTCATCTCTCAGTATAACAAGGTGTTCAGATTCATCCTGTCTGCAGATCGTGTACTGTGGAGCACACAAGTCTGTCTGTGCTTTGACCTCTGACCTCACTATTCTGCTTCTTTTGAAGTGCCTGTTTCTCAAGCACTCAGGTCTGAGCACTGTATGTGGATGACCTCTCATCATAGCTCGCCACAGCAGGCGACACACTGCACGCTGCAGTTCTGAACTTTTTTTCTATCATAATCCGACGAGCAGAGCAAAACTGCATGACGCCGTTGGATCGGACATGGCGCCATCTATACAGTCAGGTCACATAAATATTTGGACAGAGATGACTTTCTTCTAATTTTGGTTCTGCACGTTACCACAATACGTTTTAAACGAAACAACTCAGTGCAGACTTTACGCTTTAATTCAATGAGTTGTGACAAAATAAAGCATTTTAACAGTCTTTTCATTTCAGGGCCCAAAAGTAAACGAAGAAACTAAATAACTGAAAATAAAATGCTCATTTCTAATACTTGGTTGAAAACCCTTTGCTGGCGTTGACGGCCTGGTCTTGAACTCATGGACATCACCAGATGATGGGTTTCCTCCTGCTGGGCCTTTACTGCAGCAGCTTTCAGTTGCTGTTTGTTTGTGGGCCTTTGTGTCTGAAGTTTAGTCTTCAACAAGTAAAATCCACGCTGAACTGGGCTAAGATCAGGTGACTGACTTGGCCATTCAAGAATATTCCTCTTCTTTGCTTTAATAAACTCCTCAGGATCTGTGTTATGAAACGCTGCCCAACCAGTTTGACTGTATTTGAGCAGTCTGTCTCTGGACACTTGCACCTTGCAGTGAACCCTCTTATTTACTGTCATGCAGTCTTCTCTTTGCGGTAGGCTTGGATATCGATACGCCGACCTCGAGGAGAGTGTTACTACTTGGTTGGCTGTTGTTAATGGAAATAATTCTGCGATCATCCACCACCGTTATCTTCCGTGGACATCCAAGTCTGCGTTACGAAGTTCAGCAGCGCTAAATCTTTCAAATGCAAGCACCACACCTCAGATTAACTCCAGGTGATCGATTTCCTTAATCAACAATGACATAATAAAGGAATTCCCCACACCTGCCCATGAAATGGCCTTTGAGTCAATTGTCCAATTACTTCTGGTCCCTTTGAAAAGAGGGTGGCACATGTTGAGTGTGGGTGCCCTCAAATGAAAGCTGAGAGTGTAGACGTCTTGTACACGTCTATTGTATAACAATAATTGGAAAGTGTTTAAGGAAACGGGTAAAAATGTATCCAGATGTATATATTTACACCTAACTGTGACAGTTTTTACCTCCCTGTGGTGTGCATGTTCAAATTCATCAGGTTATTGTCCATTAAATACATAGAAAGCCACTTAATATAATGTGGCCTTCTCCTTGTACACTCAGTCGAGGCAGCACCCTCACATAAACCAGAGTGCTTCTACTCGTGAGACACACCTGAGGTCACCTGCTGTGTACACCTCTCTGACTGTTGGGTTTCTCTGTGTGTTTTATTGTAGGGTCTACCTTACAATATAAAGCACCTTGAAGCAACTGTTGTTGTGATTTGGCGCTGTATTAATAAAATTAAATTGAGCTCTGCGGTACAAAATATTTTCCTTGTGTACATGTTTACTCTTTAGTAATCAGTTACTATGCATGTAGACACAGTGCACGTCTTTGGGACCTTTTTAAATGGTTTGCAAACTAAAATAAATCAGATGAAATCTAGTTGTCATTTTTCTTAGCAAAATCAGCATGAGCCATCTACGAGTCAGTAATAACTGGTGGTGCCATCGTGTCTGGGATGTAAAAACGGGACAGTTGCACACTGACACAAAACTAAGTTGAGAGTGTGTAACATCAAATACTCTGTCAACTCATTTGTGATTTGCAGTTAGCACACTGAGGGGAGTAATGAGGAGTTTGTGCTCTCACAGCTGGATGCTAACGCGTACAGAGCACACTGTCAGACCAGCGATATAATCCTGACATCGATTCAGAGTGCTGTGCACATTCCTCACAGGGGAAATTCACTTATCTGCTTGGAAAGCAGCAGACAACAAATCAGCAGTCAGGAAATGAAATAGCACTGTGGGTGAAACCGTGTGCGATCCTGCAGGATGGAGGCGAGGCAATTGTCCTGATAAATTTCCTCAATCTTTCTCTCTCGCCACTTTCCCGAAAGGTCATTTTGATATAAGAGAGTCTATGAAACACTCGGTGAAAGTACCAGAGCAACCCTTCAGCCACACTATCAGGGTTTCTGCATTCTCTGCATAGTACTGTATTTACTTTAAGGAAGACAATCTGATTGGCTAGAGCTTGGAGTCTGAGGATAGACGACGGTTGTCTAAATAAAATGTAGCAGAGATCAGCCTTTAAATATATCATTCAATGAGCTAATTAGTTACTAAACATCACAGTGGTCATTTATTATAGAATTATGTACTGAGAGACTTTAAGTTAGATACAGTTGTTCACAGTTTCCAACAGTGTGAGGATCTCATCCTGGAAATAAAAAGTATTTGGATTATAGTTGGTGGATGTCCTACAGACACTGCATTAAATAGACATTCATTACACAGAAGAAGAAGAAGCAGCAGCACATGAAAGTGTTGGGCCGGACGTGTTATTGGTGAATCCAGGTGTATAAAATGAAGCACTCAGCCGGTCTGTCTTTACAAACACTTGTGAAATAATGGCTCATTCTAAAAAGCTCACTTACTGTGGGATTGTAATAGGATGGCAGCCCGTTTGTGAAGTTTCTTCCCTCTTTGATATTCCAAAATAAGCTGTAAGTTGTGTTATTACAACGAGGAAGCAAATAGAAAAAGCAGCAACTCAGCCATAAAGTGGCAGACCACATGAAGTCACAGAGCGCCGAGGCGCACAGTGTGTCACAGTACCAACGCTCCAAACTTCCTCTGGCAGTAACGTCAGCACACAGTCTGTGCACCGGGAGCTTCCATGACTGAGCAGCTCCTGCAGGTGCCATTTGTAGGTGTACCGTGATAACTTCACTCTGGGATAAAATAACTGGTCATCTTTATGGGAACCACGAGCCATGGAAGGCTGGGCAAAGCACAACAACAAAAAACAGATTTTAAGCCTTTCTAATAAAAAGTAACAATAATAAACAAAACTTTAAAGCACGACCGTCAACAGTAACATTAATTCTCTATACGTGCTGTGTCGACACAGATCAAATAGAGCCCCCATGAATTTTTAATAGGTGCAGTTTAGTATCCAAAGATATACAGATGTTCACAAGGAGCACTAATGTGAGATTCCATTAAAATAAACCACTTCTGAAACTCCTAAAACATCAAACATTTAACCTGTTACCACAAATCAAGCCTAGTCTTTGGCCTCCTACAGAATAGAACTGGATCCTTTCGGATAATCAAACGCCTAAAAAGGTCAGTTTAATTTAAGATATAAGTAATAACTTGTGAGACTGATTCAAACTCTCTGCACGAGACGAAGAGCAACGATAAGTCTGTTTGTTTACGACTCTCGGTTCTCCTCTGCAGCAGGTTCCTCTGTTCTCGGGATATTTGGATCGATGTTCCTCTGCTGTCCCTTCAGGGTCCACAGATGGTTATTAAAGTTTTATGGCCAACCTTGTAAACATCTATTTATCATTTAAATGTGGCTCCTTGTAACAGTTACCCAACACAGATGAAAATTAATCTTTATCTCGAAGACTCTGACTCAGGAGGCAGATGCCTGGTGTCTGGGCCAAAGTAAGCTCTAGATGGAGAGCATAACATATGAGGCCATTAGCTGATGCAATGGCGTTGTGAGGAAGTGCTACTGGAGTGCATTTGGTTTATCGGTCTAAAGGGTATTTCGATTAATTTACATTTCAGGGGGTTTGTGCATCATTAGTCTTGTCATGCTATTAGGATAACAGGAAGGCTAAGAAAAGGTGTGCAGCTCCACCTTGCAGGCATACATGCATATGTGGATGAGATATAAAATTAGTCTAGCCATGTGTCCTGTTCATGCTTACGTATATATGTTTTTCTCACTTTCTTTCCCTAAAGGGCTGCTATCGAGGAGACTTACTCTAAGTCAATGAGTAAACTAGCTAAAATGGCCAGCAATGGAAGTCCACAAGGGTGAGTACCTCATGTACGATATAGAACAGCAGGACAGCGTCCTGTGAAGGGGTTCAGAAAATTACTGTATAGATTTTATTTCCCAGAAGGTGCTGGTTTGGTAATTATAGATGTGATGGTCATATGGCTGCATATGAGATATGGATGAGCACCATCTGTGGCACCAAATGCCCACATTTGTGATGCCATTCAGCCTATATCGTTCCAGTCATGTCGTCTACTCTTTGATGGATGATATTTGTATGTTTAATTACCTTCTAGGACTGCATCACTGGACACGATTACACAAGTCTGCAATGGTTCAAAAGTTTTTCTGTATTTGTTTGTTTTAAAGCTGATTTGGCTCATGTGGAAATACTTTGCTGTGCTAATCATATTTCAGTAACATGATTAGAGTGTGTGGATTGTTTGGCTGTTGTCAGTCAAATCTTATCAAAACACAACCAAATAAGCTGAGTTTTGTTTTTTACTTCACATTATAAGACAACAAACAGTTTTCTTGGCATTATTTAGAGTTTAGGTTTAGTTTTTAAGCTGCGTCGTCTGGTAGCTGCGTGTATACTCCGTGCTACATTGTTGCAGTCCAACATCACTGCTGTGATTATACAGTGGGGCAAAAAAGTATTTAGTCAGCCACCGATTGTGCAAGTTCCCCCACTTAAAATGATGACAGAGGTCAGTAATTTGCACCAGAGGTACACTTCAACTGTGAGAGACAGAATGTGAAAAAAAAATCCATGAATTCACATGGTAGGATTTGTAAAGAATTTATTCGTAAATTAGGGTGGAAAATAAGTATTTGGTCACCTCAAACAAGGAAAATCTCTGGCTCTCACAGACCTGTAACATCTTCTGTAAGAAGCTTTTCTGTCCCCCACTCGTTACCTGTATGAATGGCACCTGTTTGAACTCATCATCTGTATAAAAGACACCTGTCCACAGCCTCAAACAGTCAGACTCCAAACTCCGCCATGGCCAAGACCAAAGAGCTTTGGAAGGACACCAGGAAAAGTATTGTAGACCTGCACCAGACTGGGAAGAGTGAATCTACAATAGGCAAGCAGCTTGGTGTGAAAAAATCAACTGTGGGAGCAATCATCAGAAAATGGAAGACATACAAGACCACTGATAATCTCCCTCGATCTGGGGCTCCACGCAAGATCTCATCCCGTGGGGTCAAAATGATCATGAGAACGGTGAGCAAAGATCCCAGAACCACACGGGGGGACCTGGTGAATGACCTGCAGAGAGCTGGGACCAAAGTAACAAAGGTCACCATCAGTAACACACTACAACGGCAGGGAATCAAATCCCGCAGTGCCAGACGTGTTCCGCTGCTGAAGCCAGTGCATGTCCAGGCCCGTCTGAAGTTTGCCAGAGAGCACATGGATGATACAGCAGAGGATTGGGAGAATGTCATGTGGTCAGATGAAACCAAAGTAGAACTTTTTGGTATAAACTCAACTCGTCGTGTTTGGAGGAAGAAGAATACTGAGTTGCATCCCAAGAACACCATACCTACTGTGAAGCATGGGGGTGGAAACATCATGCTATGGGGCTGTTTTTCTGCCAAGGGGACAGGACGACTGATCCGTGTTAAGGACAGAATGAATGGGGCCATGTATCGTGAGATTTCGAGCCAAAACCTCCTTCCATCAGTGAGAACTTTGAAGATGAAACGAGGCTGGGTCTTCCAACACGACAATGATCCAAAACACACCGCCCGGGCAACAAAGGAGTGGCTCCGTAAGAAGCATTTGAAAGTCCTGGAGTGGCCTAGCCAGTCTCCAGACCTCAACCCCATAGAAAATCTGTGGCGGGAGTTGAAAGTCCGTGTTGCTCGGCGACAGCCCCAAAACATCACTGCTCTCGAGAAGATCTGCATGGAGGAATGGGCCAAAATACCAGCTACTGTGTGTGCAAACCTGGTAAAGACCTATAGTAAACGTTTGACCTCTGTTATTGCCAACAAAGGTTATGTTACAAAGTATTGAGTTGTATTTTTGTTATTGACCAAATACTTATTTTCCACCCTGATTTACGAATAAATTCTTTACAAATCCTACCATGTGGATTCATGGATTTTTTTTCACATTCTGTCTCTCACAGTTGAAGTGTACCTCTGGTGCAAATTACTGACCTCTGTCATCATTTTAGGTGGGGGACCTTGCACAATCGGTGGCTGACTAAATACTTTTTTGCCCCACTGTATATGCAACAAAGCACACTTCTGCACACTCTGGTCAGTGATTCGTTTTAGTCAGACAGGGCTGTGAGAGCCCTGCATCATTGATTTCCACATACATCGATCAGCCATACCATCGATGTTCTTGGTCTGCAGCGGTCAGTGTCTCTCAAAATTGGTTCGAGGAAGGAACAGACGTACCAGCGACGTGGTTGTAGGCAGCCAAGCCTCACTGATGTGTGTCGGGAGTGAAGGCCGGCCTGTGTGGTCCCATCAACAGACGAAAAAGTTCATGCTGGTTCTGATAAAAGGTGTCAGAGGTGCTCAGTCAGGGTGTTGACTCCTGTCCACAACTGAAAGCGCCAACAATGTTCTTCAGAACTGGACCACAGAGTAATGGAAGAAGACTTTCTTTTATATCACATGGATCGTCAGATGCATGTGCCTCATCTGCTATCTAGCAGATATCTGCATCAGGCCAGCGGAGGCAGTGTGATGCTTTGGGCAGTGTTCTGCTAGGAAACCTTGGGACCCGCCATCTATGTGGATTTACTTCGACCCGTACCACCTACCTAAGCATTTTTGCAGACCATGTGCACTTTTTCATGGGAAACGTATTCCCTGATGGCTATGACCTCTTTCAGCAGGATAAAGCACACAGGCACAAAGCAGGAATGGTTCAGGATCGGTTTGAGGTTCATAACAACAAGTTTGAGGTGCTTCCGAATTCTCCAGAGCTCAGTCGAGTCAATTGTTGGTGGGATGTGCTGGACAAACGAGTCCCAATCCGTGGAGGCCTCACCTCCCAACTTACTGTTGCTAACATCTTCAGACAGCACACCGTCAGAGGTCTAGTGGAGTCTGCGCCTCGATGGGTCTGGTTGTTTCGGCACCAAATGGGACCAACAGAATATTAGACAGACTGTTATGCTTGATGTTTGAAGGAAAATCAATTTCAGTGATCTCTGAGTAACAAAATGAGAATAAATTTGTGTAAAACAATAACTGCAAATGTAATTTTACATTTTTGGAAACATTTAGTCCTGTTAGTGATGATAAAAACTATTAATATGGTGCCCGACATGAACAAATATACCTATGAAATACTCAGTGGTCCACGATTTCTTAAGCGTAGTGGAAAATGTAGGAGTCTTTAGGACAACAGTGGAATTACATGTTGATTATCTCTTATTACTATCTGCATATTTTCCAGGACTTTTGCTCCCATGTGGGATGTTTTCAGGGTGTCTTCAGACAAACTTGCCCTCTGCCACCTCGAGCTGATGAAGAAGTTCAACGATCTCATCCGCGATATCAACAAGTACACAGACGAGCAGGTCAAAATTCACCGCAAGGTACGTATCTGAAGTGAGGGGGAAAAAAACACTTCACCCCAGTCCTGCCAGCCCTGATCAGCTCTTTTCTCAGAGCATATCCAGTTACCATCCTTTCCTTCATGTAATTGGTGCATTTGCCCTGAAAAGTACTCGGTACAATGATCCCCTGCACAGTATGTCCATATGTAGGCTTTATTCTTTATGCATGTTTATGTGTATCAACCAGACTAAGGAGGAGATGGTGGGGACGGTGGAGGCGGTGCAGGTGCTTCAGGTTCAGAGCGGACAGCTTCAGAAGTCCAAGGAGGGTTACCACGCCAAATGTTTAGAGCTGGATCGACTCAGGAAGGAGGGAGGTCCTCAGAAAGAGCTGGAGAAGGTTCGCCTAACCTTTCTCACTGCAGAAACCAACTGCAAAGTGTCCCATGAAATGAAATGTTTCTGTTGTTGCAGCATCATCTCGCTCAGAAAGTTTGAATTAGATTCAATAATTTAAAAACATGAATGCCTGGGTGATGTTAAGTCTCAAGCATGAGAAATCTCTTGTTTTAAGTAAATATCAACTAGATAGAGAAGGTCTGCAGCAGCGTGAGGGAGCCAGGCTACATATTTCATGCTGGCCTTGGAAAATCTCATAAACTGAAAGCGTGGCTCGAAAAGGAATGAGCAACCTCGAGTTTCAATCAACTGAAGAATATTTACCAAAATCCACTGCTCAAAAAAAATAAAAGAACAGTTTGAAAACACATCAGATCTCTCGGTTGGATTTAGGTCGGGCGGGGTGGGGACCAATCAGTGGTATCGGTTCCTTCATCCTCCAGGAACTGCCTGCATGCCCTCACCACGTGAGGCCGGACGTTGGCGTGCACGTGAAGGAACCCTGGGCTCCTTGCACCAGCGTAGAGACACGTAGTGGGTCAGAGCATTTCATCCTGGTACTTGATGGCAGTCGGTGCTGTTACCTAGCCTCGTTAGAAAGAGCCGTGACAAGACCAAAAACATTTCTCAGGTGCAGAAATGTCCACAAAAAGTACTCATTAAGTCAGAGTAACACAAATGTACTAATAGAGCTGTAACTAATGTAAGAGTATACAATAACAGGAACATTACAGAATATCTTTACAATAAAATAAAAACAGCCAGCATTAAAAAAAATACTGGAACATAAGTGTGGTCAGTTAACTGTCATTAATTAGTCATAATTATCAGTTGTCTTCATGATGGAGACTGGATCTCTCAGGATCTAGTGATAAATAACAGCTACAGCGTCTTTGTCAGCATCACAGATAAAGTTTGGTCTGATTAAATTTGGGAAACACTTGATAATCAGTAGATTGTACGTGTGTGGGTGTTTGCTGCAGAACATCTGATATGACGTGCTATTCTGACTTTGTCTGGTTATAAGCTGCCCACAGCTGTACACACTGGTCTCTCCTTCCTCTGCAGCTGACACTGTAGGCTTGTATCTCTCATCTCCTGCAAGCTGGTTTATTTTTTTACACCAACTAAAATGTTATTTCTCAGGAAGTGGCTGCAGGAACCTTGAAGAACTGCAGATCTTGGTATCGTTTAAAATACCCAACTTTACACATTAAATGCATACAGCCTGGTAGAAAAGTAGATTTCCTCATCATTGCAGCTGTGTTATAGATGATTTTATTTATTATTCTTCTATACTGGAATTTCTTTATTTATATTTTAAGAAATGATCTAAAGATGTCAGTGCCTCTGTGCTTTACTCCCCTACACTGTATGGATTCAGTTTGGTAAACCTGGCTGTTGTTTGCTGAATGTTTTTAATCATTTGGTCACTTCTGTCTCCTAAAAACTAACATGGCAGCAGTCAAAGCGCAGCTATGGCCGTCTTTCGTATACAGCCTTTGCTAATCTGTGGCCACGGGTCGTGGTAGTTCTGTAAAAATTAACATTTAAAATATATTTGCTTGCAAGTTCATTAAAACTCATATATTAATAATCTTGTCAGACCTGTCAAAGAACTGCGTTTTGATGAGGTTTAGATGGGAGCAGAGAATCATGGAGCGAGGAGCAGCCGGCCGAACAAACTAAATGCACAGCTGTCTTTCAGAAGAAACTCTTCCTGGAGTCTGAGGTGCTCTTTGGGAGGGATACGTACTGGTTTATACACCCAGAAACTCCAAGGCCCCTCTTCTGTGGAACCAGCTTCCAGTTTGGATTCAGGAGACAGACACTATCTCTACTTTCAAGATTAGGCTTCAAACTTTCCTTTTTGCTAAAGCATATAGTTAGGGCTGGACCAGGTAAATGGTAAATGGCCTGTATTTATATAGCGCTTTACTAGTCCCTAAGGACCCCAAAGCGCTTTACATATCCAGTCATCCACCCATTCACACACACATTCACACACTGGTGATGGCAGCTACATTGTAGCCACAGCCACCCTGGGGCGCACTGACAGAGGCGAGGCCCTCTGACCACCACCAGTAGGCAACGGGTGAAGTGTCTTGCCCAAGGACACAACGACCGAGACTGTCCAAGCCGGGGCTTCAGGTGACCCTGAATCCTCCCTTAGTTATGCTGCAATAGACGTAGGCTGCCGGGGGATTCCCATGATGCACTGGGTCTTTCTTCTTCTCTCACTATGTGTTAACAGACCTCTCTGCACTGAATCATACTTAATATTAATCTCAAGCCCCTCCCTGAGCCTGGTTCTGTCGGAGGTTTCTTCCTGTTAAAAGGGAGTTTTTCCTTCCCACTGTCGCCAAAGTGCTGCTCATAGGGGGTCATATGATTGTTGGTTTTTCTCTGTGTGTATTATTGTAGGATCTACCTTACAATATAAAGCACCTTAAGGCGACTGTTGTTGTGATTTGTTGCTGTATAAATAAAACGGAACTGGATTGAATTAAGGCGGCGCTCCCTTTTCAAAAGACTTTGTTCATGTGAAGGTATCATGTAAAAACAGTCTGTGAACACACCAACAGGAGATGTCTTTAAAACCTTGGCAGGTGAAAGAGGACGAAGATTCACCAAAATTGAATTCAAATCTGACAAAGAGAACAAAAAGGGGAAACGTGGTGACATAACTGCGTCTCTAATAAAGTTCATGAGAAAGCTGTAAAATCCCCGTTTAACTCAGGATACTTACTGGCCCGTAAGCCTTCAATCCAAAAAACGTTCCTTTGGTTAAGACTCCTGTGTCTGTCTGCTTGTGTTGAAAGAGCGACGTGATCAAAGGCTTGTGGTGTAGACGGTTACTATTCTGAAGCAAGCTAGAAAGAAAGAACCTGAACACACAAACTAATCTGTAGTTATCGTAGTAGGACTCAAACTGCCATCAGAGTTCATCACTGAGAGCTCACAGGTGAGCCCTTTAACAACTGTCAACACTCAAAAGTGTCATAAATATGTTTTGAAAGTAGCACGTGGTCACATTTGAGAAGTTGTAACAAAGTTGTTCTTATTTCAGGACAGCCAGCTGATGACTGGTTACATAATCTGAGTATATGTGATGTGTTCCAGCGTTGCTGCAGACATTTTTTAACAAATCTGTCTCGTTCTCTTGTGGAGTCATTTACTTTTGTCCGTCTTGTGATCGAGGGTCAGTATTTAAGGGCCGTTGTCTTTTTTCCTTTTTCCCCTCACTAGGCGGAGCTGAAGTCAAAGAAAGCAGCCGAGTCGTTCGCGCTGTGCATCGAGAAGTACAACCGCGTGGGAGGAGAGTTTGAGCAGAAGATGAGCGAGTCCGCCCAGGTCAGCTCCGACTCCAGCTGGGCCTAAAGCCACTTTTATCTCTCTCTCCCACCCTCTGATTTACTGATTTATGCATTTCTGCTTCTCTCGGGCTGGATTTGTCTCTCCGTATCCTCCCACCACACGAGAACTCGCTCTTATCTGTTCGTTTGTCATCCTACATCCTGCTTTGCCCAAAAAAGGAAACCTCTGCCCCCGACTCCCAAACACCCACCGACCTGTGCACACATCCCGCAACCCTGCTCGTTACCTTTAATCACCGGCTCTGCACTTCCATGGTTACTGCTGCTGTTACCATGGAAATCTTCAACAAACCCCGTTGAGCGGCTTTGTGTTTTAGATTTGAGATGGCGACAAGAATCTCAGCGACCAATTATCTGTTGTAATAGCTCTGAAGGAAAAGGTCTGGTAGTAATTATGAGGAAGTACTTGGAAGAACAACGTGTCAGGAGACGGTCGTCCGGGTGGAGGAAGGCTGCTTTTATAAGATCAAAATCCTTTAATTCGACCAAGAGAAGAAGAAAACGCACGCGGTGTGTGTTCACGCACATTCCTCCTGCAGGAACTGTAAATATGAAACCCCTGAGAAGCCGAGGGCAGCGTGCCGTACACCAAAAACAACACCGGCTTTAGGGAGAAGCGTAAAGGTGCATTTTGCTTGTTGATGCAGTTGACAGACGGGCACCTTCACACGATACAAAGTCAGCGGTGAGGCATGAGTTATTGATTGGACCGCTTTGGCAACAGCCATCCTAAACGATTATTCGACTAACTGTTGAAGCTAGTTATCCACAAACTCACTGCCAAACTAAACCAAATGCACCAGAGATGGTTCAGACCCAGAGCAGTTTGTTGTGATGTTTCAGGGAGAAACCAGTTGCATACACAGAAGCGTTGCAGTGAAACCTTGAGCCGTGTCACAGTGCAGATGGAAATGAGGACTCTGCCTGAGGCTGACAGCAGCAGTATTTTATATTTGCTCTCCAAGCCCAGATCTTGCATGTATAATTGGAGTAAAGGAGCTGGCACAAGCTTGCTCATAAGCTTGCTTCTCCACCGAAAGCCAATTTCCCCTATATCAAGACAATTCCCCTGAAGCAGACAGCGACAAATGAGCTGGCTGAATAAAGAGCCAGATCAAACTCAAATGCTAAATCTTCTCGAATTATCGCAGGTTTAACGACCTGGCGAGCCGGTGCCTCCGTAGCTGGCTGACCGCCCAGCTGCAGCGCGGCTCTTTTTCAAAGGCTATTTCCATTTTATTGAATAAAGGTCGAGTTTGAAGAGTGTGGTGGCTGCTCGAAATGCAGAAAAAAACCAAGCCCCACAGTAAGTAGCTCTTAAATCTCAAACCCCACACGAGGGTTTTGGCGCCGTAAAGCAAAGGCTTTTCTTGTCTCACCATCTTTGTCTGTGTGTGTTCGAGCAGAAGTTTCAGGAAATCGAGGAGGCTCATCTGCGGCAGATGAAACAGCTCATCAAAGGTTACTCCCACTCCATAGAAGACACCCACGTCCAGGTGGGACAGGTACGCTGGAGTTCATGTGAAATCCTGCTCTCATATATTTCGCCTCGTTCTTTTCATGCCGTCTTTTTCTTTCATCGTTTCCTCCTGGAGTTACGTTTGTTTAAAGCTCGGTGGGAGAGCTGAGCAGAGCCACAAATCTGGTTCAGGATTTGTGGTGACAGCCGATGGTAGTGGACCGCACACGCTAGGTGTCCTTGCAGATGTGTCAGAGGTGGAATGGTGATTCCAGTGTTTCCCAGTATGACCATAAACAGCGTGTGCTCTGTTTCCTGCTGGGGGGGGGGTTTATGTGCAGCTTATATTAAACAAACAGTGTTTGTGGGTAAATTAGAGCCAGGAACTGACACATCAGCACACAGACGCTGTAGCGGTGCGTCGTGGTGAAGAGAGAGCGCTTGATTTACCGGCCAATCTACGTCCCTACCCTCACCTGTGGTCACGAGCTGTGGGTAGTGACCGAAAGAACGAGATCACGAATAAAAGTGACAGAAATGAGCTTCCTCTGACGGGTGGCTGGCCTCTGAGGAGTTCAGCCATCAGTGAGGGGCTCAGAGTAGAGCCGCTGCTCCTCCACATCGAAGGGAGCCAGCTGGGGTGGTTCGGGCATCTGACACGGACGCCTCCTGGGTGAGGTGTTCTGGGAGAGATTACATCTCTCCGGCGTGTCCTGGGTCTGGGTCAGTAACCAAATAAATCCTTCTGCTGTTCTCAACTGCAGGTTCACGAAGAATTCAAGCAGAACGTGGAGAACATCGGCATCGATAACCTCATTCAGAAATTTGCTGAACAGAAGGGCACGGGCAAAGATCGTCCAGGTACTGTGAGCTGGCTCGTCCAGTTAGGAGGAAACATTCAGCTGCAGAAGTTGCATAACAAAATATGAAGACGCCCACATTCATAACAGCAGCGTGGAAGCTGATTCACAGAAGCAAACTGTGACTGGCTTAAATGGATGGATGTGTGTGTGATTTTCATGCAGCTGCGGTTGGATTTGAGGAATACATGACAGCTTTGGCGCCCGAAGGAGGGAAAAAGAGTCGGGCGAAGGCCTTCAGGATACCCGGTCTGGGCAAGAGGGACAAAGAGCCAGACTCTGCGTGAGTGTGCGCATCAATGCTCCTAATAATACACATCGAGTGTCTGAGGGATTTTCTGATTCACCTGCGTGTTCGTCTTATTTGCAGCGATTCGGCTGTGACCGAGGCTCTGGTGAGTATTTCACAAAAGGTTTAAAGGCCTGTGTGTGCGTGTGTGTGTGCGTGTGCGTGCGTGTGTGTGCATGTGCGTGTGTGTGTGTGCGTGTGCGTGCGTGCGTGTGCGTGTGTTTACAATGTGCCTGACGGTGTGGGGTTTCCTCGGTCTATTTCGGTACTTCTGGGAACAAACTTGTGCCAGAGGGGAAGTGCAGCGCTCCACGTGAGGGCACGTGTTTGCGTACACAACTCGGTGGATACGCAAAGTGCTGTAAACAGAGGTGTGTAGCTTCGGCCTGTGGTCGCTGCCACAGTGTCATCCAGCAGACTGAGACGGAGAGTAATCTAATTACACAGGTTTGGTTTCTCGATCAATGGACTTTAATTAAATCAGTGGCTGCTTAAAGTTTAGATATGAAATTGTGTTTTATTTAAAGGTTAGATTAGGTTATGATTAGATTAATAAGTAAACAAACAGTAAACTGTTTATTTTTTATTTAATTTTTTTGTATATTTTCATTTTGTTTTGTTATCTTTAACCTCTTAAGACCTGAACTCTTCCACAGCATCTTAAATTTCTCTTTGATATTTGGGCTGATTGGGGCCCAAGAATGAAAAAAACAAAGAATTACCAGATTTATTTTTTATTTTTTTACCTTATTTTTGTTTTTAAGAAAAATGAGAGCCACGTATGAGGATATTTGTTTAAAATTTTGATAGAACAGCAGCAGCATAACGTCCTCGTAAGTGGATATCAGGCCCATGTAAAGCAAAATTGAGTATTTTGGTCTAAATAACCCAGAATGAGATGTCCACACATGTGGACGCAGGTCCTAGGAGGTTAAATGAACTTTAAGAAGTTTGCAGTGGTTATCTGTAGGTAACTGGCCGTGAATAACTAAGTCTAACTAGCTGATCAGTTTATTCTCTTTCTCTTGACCAGATTTTCGTTAGAGATGAAGAAATAAGATCTTAAATGTACAAGTGAGGTCAGAGGTCAAATGTTATATTTAGAATCCCCGTATACCTGGATTATTACCTGAATGCTTCCAATACAAACAAAGGCAGCAGAATGTTTTAAGGATAAGAGACAATTTATGAACCTTTGACCTTATTTGACCTTTAAGAAAAGGTCAAAGGTTCAAAGTAACATGATCTGAGGAATCCCCGTGCATCATTCCCTGTATGTTGTGTTTTATATAACAGTATTAACACTTTGGCCTTCAGATCAACACATTTCCCTTAAAGGAAAGGTCAGAGGTCAAAAATGTTACACAGTACTTTGTTGTAATAATCAGTTTCTAAGGCTTTTTTTTTAACACATAAATCTTTCATTTAACCTTGAACACCTCGGTGCAGGCCAGATGATAAGATGACCCCACTCTGCAGCTCTACAATGTTTTATCGGTTCTGCCTGTAAACACGAGACCTTTGAATGACTCATTCAAAGCTTTCCGAGCTTTCACAGACTGGACGACACATCCCAGCGCCGCCGCAAACACGACCTCATTGACGCAGAGCTCAAAGAAACGAGAAAAACGGCTCATTTTTCATGTATAACTTTCTAGAGTTTATCACTGATTTTATGTTTGATGCTGAGCGGGTGACGCGGAGCCCAACAGCAGGCCGTTATTGTCAGACTGCGACGTGTAATCACTGAGTGCTAATGTAAAATCATTGATCTTTACATCTACAGCACGTGGCTTACTGCAGTTAAGCAGCAGCTGCAGCTGCATTGGTCTTATTAATGTGACTTTTATAACCTCGTCATATTAACTAGATCACTCGCCTGCTCCTTAATTATCGTCTTTCCCTGCGATCCTGTTCAAAAACACGTCGGCGGTCTCGGTTACACTCGTCATCTCAGACCCACAGAGGTCTGTTTGTTGAAACCGCGTGTAATGAAATATCATCTTAATAAGCCCGCGCTCTAAAAATAACTGCTCCCATGTCGGCGAGGTATTAGTTTGGATTTCCTCTCGTCTTTATCGTGCTTTCACTCCCAGACGTCCTGCCTTGCTTAAACGATTTCCGTCAAACTTGGAAGTGCTCTTGCTGCTTCAGCGAGCTGCTGGCAAGAATGTGTTTAATGCACAGCAGCTGCAGCAGTTAGTCACCGACTACCAAACAGTGTGTCATATTTTTCAGCTGTATTATTCCCACTAATGGAAAGCTCTCAGTGCGCGCAGGTCGGAGTGCTCAGTTACACCGTGTGACAAAACCCTTCTTTGTGTCAGATATCAGCCGCTTGTCTCTGATCCAGCTGCTGTCTGCCTCCCTCTCTCCCTCCTCTGTGCGCGTATGTTCCCATTCATTCCCGCAGAATTCCCCCCTGGAAGTAGACGACGAAGGATTCGTCATCCGAGCTGACAGCACTCAGAATGATATCCTTTTGCTCCTCCTGCATTCAGGGCCAGGAAAGACCATTAAGGAATATTTCTGTTTTGAACCTGTAATAAAGAATAACTGAGGATCCAGATGCGTGGCAAACAAAGAAGACGCCACAGAAAAGCCTCAGTGTTCACGAAACTGTTTTGAAATGAGCTGAAAACGTGGAGGCGACTCTTCTGTAACACGTGACCTTACTGGGAGTCGATGGCACCAGCTCAGAGTAACTTTTAATAACTTGTGTCCTAAAGAATCGTCTGTAATCTTTTTTCCGTCACCTGTCTGCGGTGTCTCGCCCTCTCAGGAGTTTTTATTTAGTTTTTGGTTTATTCAGATCATTTTGTAGCAATCTGTTCTCTCTGGAACATCAACGTTTTTGATTTAATGTAACAGTTTCAGCACACGAACACTCCCAACCCAAGAGGCTGAGTGCTTCTTACAGCCGCTCTATTGTCTTTTTTATGTCTGCACTATTTCAATTTCATGCCCGTATTTAATCGATGAATGTCCACCATATGTCATAAAAGTCTTTATTTAGCAGCCCGGTAATAACCATGACCCAGAGTGTCCACAGTTCAAGTCTAGCGGGGGTCTTATTCCCGCCCTCCCCGTTAGTATTTCCAACTTAGTCTGAGCACCGCTCAGAAACTCTCCAAAAGAGTAAACGACGGCGATTTTGATCAACTAAATCTCGATAAACTTCCTGTTGAGTCTTGGGTCTAAATGTGAACGAGCACAAATATAACGAGGACCATCTGTTGGATGAAAACTGGAAGAACAATCGCTGCTCCAAATGATTCACGTCTCTTTCGTTGCTGTGACCGAAGGAAAGCTTGACTCAAGTTGCGTGACGACAAATTATAACCCCTGAGATCACTGCATGAAGTCTGGGAGACCCCTTAGCTGAGAAGGATTACGGTGATCTTTAAATGGTTTGTAGTCAGAAGGTGAGAGATGGAGTTTAACCAACGCGTCTGCGACGTTTTCAAATTAACCGTAGACGCAGACGCGCCCCTCGGCTCGGCTGCGTTCATGTTTGGTGGCAGTGTGAGTGGATGTGAGGAGGCTGCTCTCCCTGCCTGTGCCATCTCTCCACTAAGCTCCCCGCAGACACTAATCAGAGTCTGAAGGTGCACGTAACATTTTCATATGCAGATTGAAGTCCGGGGAGAGGAGGAAGGGGGTGTGGCTTTTCTTGTGGGTAATGATGTGGCAGGAAGTGGCAGTTTGACAGTTCTGCACCACTTACCTGCAGGAAGCGGCGGTCCTGCTTATGTTCATCATGTCCGTCTGTCGGCCCCTCGTTGCTGCTGGTTGTGTTTTTGTTCAGATTTTAATGAAATGAAATGTTTCCCGGTTTAATTATATTTTCCTGTTTGTGTTTCTGAAATCTCAAGTCTCAGGTGGATCATTTTAACTGAAATTAAAAACAGCAGAGTCTTTGTGTCATTTAACCATCACGTAGTTTCTTCCTTGACCCTCCTCCACGCTGCTCCAAGGAGAAGGAGACCAACTTTTACTCCAGCGATTCAGACTTTGATGACGAAGAGCCCAAGAAGTTCCACATTCAGATCCGACCGGTGGCCAGCAGCAACCGCAGCAGCTCCGTTGCCACAGAGAAGGAGCTCAAAGCTACCGTGGGGGCGCTTACGCTGCCACCCAACAGAGGGCCGAAGCAGCAGGTTGGCTTTGATTTCCTTTAAATGAGGATATATTTGAGATGTGCACGTTAACCCTCCTCAAAACAGTCTGAAGACGTACTCTTAGTAAATTCCACAAAGAGACAATATGATGACAAACACATTTAACTTTGAACAAAAAACCTCAGCATGTTTTGGAAACGACTACTTTGTTTATCAGCACAAAGTTATTAAGAAGCTAAAGCTTTGTTCCTTTGGGTATATTCATGGGATTTATTGACAATAATAAAAACACCCAGCAGAATGTCAGCTCCTACCCTTTTCATAGCTCAATATATTGAATATTTCTCACTCTCTGTCTCGACTTTCAGGTCAAGCGACATCTCTCCCGTAAGTTTGAATGTTGGCATTTAAACTGCTTTAAAAAATAAATAATAAAACATTTCCAGTCCTTGCTGGTGTGCAGTAATACCTCTGCTTGTAACATAAGGCAGTGGGAAATGTTTAAAGTGCCATTTCTTAACTTTGTTTCCAGGAAACTCGAGTACCGCAGGAGGCCGATCAGAAGACGGGGACGCTGCCTCCCGCAGGGGTGAGTCTTTCAGTATCCAGACATCCAGTCCAGTCCTTTATTTACACAGAATAAACAATAAAGATCTAAAGATAAATTTCTTATTGGGGAAAAATAATGGACAGATTAATGAGTAGTGAAGGCACTTGATAGTTTTCAGTTCTGTCTCTGTTTACATCTGTAAGAGTGTTTTCAGGTTGGTGTCCTTCGTTTTTGCGAGTCAGAATCATCTGTGTATCTGCAGCATCTCTCTGTGTTTCTGTCTAAGGTCAGGGGTCGGCAACCCTGGACGCGCACCGGCTACCGGGCAAATGCCGGATGGTGATCTTTCTTTTTTGTGGGCCGATTTTTATTATTATTATTTTGTAGTGGTATAAACAATGAAAGGTGGTGGATTGGCCAGATGCTGGTCGATTAACAGGGAGAGGGGGGCACAAAGAAGTACTTTTCTTTCTTATTCTCATTTAAAATGTCTCGTTTTTATTAAATAATTATCTGAATTTTACAACCAAAGTTTTTACCTGATGTACAATGTATAGAAATCATACATATACCAACAAGACTGTACATCACTGTCACAGCAGCGTCTGTTTTCATTCAAAGGCTTTATGGCTTTAATACCTGGGGGGCCGGTCTCTAGTCAAAATGCCCGGGCAGATGTTTTGTCCCAGTCCAGCCCTGGGCACGACACACAGTGAGTTAATCTGAGAAGGTGCATTAAAAAATAAATGGCCGGGCCAGCGGTGCACATCGCAGATTAGCTCACATACACACATTAGTTGTGCCGCTTCTTAATGACGGCATCTTAGCTAACAACCCCAACTACCAGACTCAACAGCTGGTTGTCTCACATTAACTGGCTGAGTTAATGCCAGTTAATGCAACATCGAAACGCAGCTGATTGAACTGAACAGCTCGACTCTGTGGGGTCAAAGTTTGCAGAACTACGAGCGCAGCTGGACTCCACAGCTGTGCGTGTTCATGGAGCTGCATGTTCACCTGCTGGACGTCACTACCTGACAGGTTTAACTGTCTTCAGAACATTGCAGAGGCCTTATTGACAGTATTTGGCTCTACATGTCTGTGTGAGCAGGTTTTCTCTCACATGAGTCCTGAGGCAGCCTCTGAATGCTGGACACTCGGAGACCTGTGTCTCTGAGTGGGAGACCAGAGATCACAGTAACATGTGTGTCTCTGTATTAACAAACATGAAATGTTGGCCCAGTTTATTTTTCTTATCATTGTTGTGAGGAGGCCATAAATAGCATTGGCATTTTCTGTTGTTCAGTTCATTTGCTGTTATGGATAAAAAGTCTTTTTTTGTTTCAAAATAGCTGATAACTATTTGCTGACAGCTGCCAACATCTGCAAACAAATATGATTCTATAAAGTGGTTCTATGTAGTGTGTAACTGTTGATATAGAGCCTTATTACATTTATTGCTAATGCAATCATATGGCACACTGACCTCTGAGGAAACTTTAGATGCACTCATCATCAGAAATCTGATCTAGGCAGAAAATCTCTTCTTTGGTTGACCTTGCACATACCAGTCGTTAGTCTGCTCGTGCTCCGAAGCATGTTTTATTGCAGACTGGTTCATTATTTTGTCAGAGGTTAGGCTCAAGTGGGAGTCTACAACCTGCTGCACTCCACCAGTGGGGAATCTCCCTCTTAAATCCACAGGCAGCAGGATTAATGATCAGCATCTGATTAAAGCCGTTACTCTGCAGTGACAGCAGCACTGGCTGGAGCTCAGTGAGACCCGGCTAATTGCTGGTATTTATTACAGAGAAGATATTGGCGGGGGAGGGGGGGGGTCTCATGTAGTCTCATGTCAGCTCGTCCCAGCCTCTGAGAAGCTCTGACGAAGGACAGCGTGCTGCTGATTAGTCCCGATGTCTCGTAATGACGTGTGTGTCTGTACAGATGGAGAGCAGGAGGGCCTTCGCAGGTCCACCTCCAGCCCCGATCACAGTAGGTAAGCTACCTTTGCCCTTCACATCATCTTCTACCTGCTTTAAATCTGGCTGTGAGCAGGGTGGGGACACTGTTTTGGAGGTTAAATGGCATCATCAGCATCATCAACGGCCTGTGCAGCGCTTTGAAGCTTTCACCCTCTTCCATCTCATTTTACCTTTGCAAGCTCGTTTAAATGTGAGGCTCATTCGTCTAATTACCTCGTCCTTTCGCCTCCGTCGCTCAGATGAAACGACTGTTTTTCTCGGTGGTAGTGTGGCCCGTATTGTTTCTACCTTGTTACCATGGCAAAATGTAGTAGCGTTAGGCCGGTGTTTATATGATTGTGGACAGATGTGACAGCACAATAGCGCCACTGTGATGCAGGTTTTAGTTCAAACAGGGGCGCGAATGATACGCGTGACCGGGTGGCACTGGGCCCACACCTTTACGCTGTGGAAATCTCGATATGCTGCTTAACTGCTTACCCAGTCAGGGTAGCTGTCACAGGGCAAGAGGCGGGGCTACACACTGGACAGGCCACCAGTCTCATCACAGACAGCCACTCGTGCTCGCATGCACACGCTCGCCAGATTAGACCAGTTCCCCGACACGCTACTCTTTAGCCTCTGGCAGGAAGTTGAAGTACGCGGACAGAGAACCTCCCTCTGCCACTCGCTCTGATTTTCTTTATCGTTTCTTCGCTACATCAGGTTGAGCTCGACAGCGTCGGGCTCGGACAGTCTGTTTGGACCGCCGCTGGAATCGGCCTTCAAGTCCAAAAGCTTCGACAGCCGGGACCAACTCAGAGAGCGGAGCGCGTTTGGAGCGTCTGAATGTAAGGTTACTTTCATTTAACTGTTGCTTGTGTTTTGTTTCTTACAGAGAGACGGGACTGTTGGACGACCTGAACATAAAAGCTCTAAATTCTGTCTCGGCGCCGTTCCCACGACTAATGTGTTGATTGTGTGTGGCAGATGCTGCTTTCTCCTCCGACTCCTCGTCTCCGGAGAATGTTGAGGACTCTGGCCTCGACTCACCCTCCCATCAGCCCCTCGGACCCTCCCCGAACCAGCAGGCTGGGCGGCCTGGCCTCCTGCATCGCAGAGTAAAGAGCAAACACGGGGTCGACCGTCGGACCCTTTCCTTTCCGCTTTCCGTGACCACTCCCCCGGACGCAGTCCTCACCCGCAGGATGACCCTACCGCCGTCTGGTCTGTCGCTCCGTCGCGCCCCTCGCGAGTTCCCCCTGATAAGGACCCCTCGTCGGTGCGGTTCCCCGCCTTCTCTCAGTCCCTCGCCCCACCAGAGATGGAGTCATCAGTGTGGAACTGCAAACACATCCCACCCGAGGATCCCTTCCTCGCCGCCTTTGAGAGGACCGTCACCCAGGAGACGTTAAACCTGTCGGACGCCTGGGCGCGCCCTCCGCCTCGCACTGCTCAGGAGGGCAGAGGAATGGATCTGCGAGGGGACCCCTTCTCCGTTACCTTAAACGACACCAAGACACTTCCAAGCACTTCCTCTTCCTCTTCATCCTCCTCGTGCAATCGGAAAGAGAGGGAGAGGAAGCGGGATCGCAGCCTCCCGCCTCCCATTTCTTCCGATGACCCATTTGCAATCACAATGATCGGCAGCCCGACGCATCAGTCGTCGCTGGCGGCAGCTGTTGGGGGGATCCCTCCACGCGGCGGCACCGGCGGCGGCAGCGGCGGCGGCAGCGGCGGCGCCGCCGGCGCCACCAGACTTGGATTCGATGCCAATTCGAACACTTTACCGTCAGCTCAGCCAAAGAAGGAGCTAACGCACTGGAACTCGCTCCACAACCCATTTAGTGAAGGCAACGGCTCCAAATCACAAGAAGCAAGCGGAAAAGGGGAAGGTGGCGGCGGAGAGAGGAGAAAACACCGATCATCGGAAGGTGAGCCGCGCAGGAACGCCCCTCCCCTCACGAGGCATTCGGGGCCCCAGGAGGATCTCTGCTTTTCAACAGACAAAGATCAAGACTGTCTGTATCTCAGCACACAGATGTCCTGCAGTGTCAGCTCTCGTAAGGGTACTGCTTTATTCTTTTAAGTTTCTACTGACTGTATTAAAAACATTTCCAGTTCTAATTATAAAAGTAAACGCCGAGAGTCGTGCTGTCCTCCAGCCTCAGTCTGTGGCGCTCCTTAATTAGTCACAAAGGTAGCAATCAGTTTCTTCTCAGAGTAGTCAGAGAAATGAAGCATGAATATGCACATATGCTGGATTTAGTAACACCTTCGTGTCACCTGTGCTGTTTTCTGGCTCACAGATTAAAGAGTCAGCTGTTTTCCACTTGGAAAGAAAAGTGCTTCACAGACTCTCGCTGTGATTGGCCCTTCTAGGTGGGCTAGCCCTTTTATTTCACGTTGAAGGTTATGCAGTCTGATTATTTAATAGCACGTTATGCCTTCCTGATTGGTCATTAGAGGCTGCAGGGTGGCTGCGTCTGATTAAAACAGGGAAAAATAAACGCTAAGCGGAAGGACTGAGATAAAACACATTTAACCAAGTAGACAATACTACAAAGTTAACCAGCAGGTACTTTTGATCTAGGGCCTTTTTTGAAATACCATACCTATAAGGCGCACTTAAACTCCTTTAATTTTTTCAAAAATCAACAGCGCGCCTTATGTGTGAATTCTGGTTGTGCTTACTGACCTCGACTGATTTTACGTGCTACACGGCGCTCAGACATCCGTCACAAATGTTTTAGTCCGACTTTGGTCGGATGGATCGTCGGAGTCAGGAGCCTGGCGGAGTCATCTGGGTCCTAAACTCCGTCTGTTTCAGGTAGTGATGTGCGATACCACTGATTTCCAAGTAAGATTCAGGGTGGAGTCGACGATACTGATCCGAGACCGATACTTTGCACAAAAACATTTTATTTCTTATAAATTATAGCTTCATAATGATTACTGGACATCAGATTACTTGTTCTTATCGCTTAACAATGTAGAATTCATCATATAGAAATAAAAAAAACTGAAGTTGTGGCTATTTGAACACCTTGCCTGCCTGCAGCACTAAAGGACTCCGTGAGAGACGTCTGTCTCGCCCTAGCAGCACCTGTCCCTGTCCTCCTCTTCAGTTCATCTTAACATACGCTCGTCATGTTCTGTGATATGATTTACTCTGAGGTGTTTGACGAGGTTTGCGATACATTTCTTGCCACATGTATCGCAAACCACGCCTCGGCTGTTTGTGGAGGTAAAATACGTCCACACATGACTCCATTTAAGCTCAGCCATTGTTGTGAGTGCGCACGCCAGAGGCTGGCACATTTATACAGCTGTTCAAATGTACAGCTCTGCTATCACTTCCAACATAAATGAAGACAGAAAACTAAACAGCAGTGACGTTTGTAGGGTTACTGAAGTTGCACTAGCTGGTATATAATGATGTGCTACGTGATTGCTAGCGACACAGCTATGTTAGCATAAACAGTGAAGCTGGAGGATGAACGCTAACTTTTTTCCACTTGATAAAAGTTAACATGAGGGTTCCTGATGGTTAGAGACAAATGCAATCGCATGGCAGGATGCTGTAAACGGACCAAACTTCAGTCAGGAGAACAACTGAGATAATCCATCCACAATACGAGGTTAGTCATTAATATACTGCAACAACATGGGAATAGAGCAGCTGCAGAGAATTCAACATCAATGAATCAATGTTACTGAAGTGGAGGAAGCAAGAAGAATGAGCTGAGTAAAGTTTGACTTATCTGACTGTTTTGTTTTGATTAATGCGCCTTATGTATGAAACATAGGGTTCCAGCCAGTTTTGTTGTTGCTTTGTGTGAACGTTTACCAAAGATATGCAAAGCTAGAACTTTTCAGCCTGACTTATATTTTTTGTCGGGATTGTAGTCGATTGCAATTTATTCAAATGTGAAAATAATTTTTCTCACATGAGCTACAAAACAAACAAAGCTCTCGGCATCCCAGAGAAAAACAAACACTTTTCCAGCTCGTCAATCACTCGTGCTCGTCTTAACACAAACTCGTGTTCAGCAAGTCTTTGTTGAAGCAGTGCAAATAAGATTTTGTCAGCGTGGTGTTTTGAGCGTGTCTCATCCTTTAGATCCGCTTTCATCCACTTTGTGTGTGTTTCTTTTTTAAGGCTCCAAACATAACTTCAGACAGGACACAGCCGAAGGCGTCACGGCCGCTCCTGCGAGAGCGACCCGAGCCAAGAGGTCTTCGGGTCGACTCGGTGGCTGTGAGAGAGTGAGTATCGGTCACGGCTTAACCGTTCAATGTCAGAAGCAAGACTGTCATTAGCAGCACTAACTCAGACCCGGCTGTGCGTTTCAGTCGCGGTCCCTGTGTTCCTCTCCACTGCCAGAGCCCAGCCCTTCCCTCACCTCCTCCTCCTCTTCCAGTCCCAGTGAGTGGGGGGGTCAGAACCGAGCTCAGAGCCCTGCCGGGGTGGGACAGGCCTCGCCGCTGCCCTTCCAGCACCAGGACCACCAACAGAGACAGTGTAAGCCACACGGGCACGTCTAAAAATGTCAGTTAAAACCTCGCAGTGAGAGCGAGAGATGTGAGCAATGTTTCTCTACAGTGCATCTGTCCAGAGGCCCCAGTCCCATATCGCTCAGCACACAGGAGGCGTGGCCAGTAGCAGCAGCCATTACTGAATACATCAACGCCTACTTCAAAGGTGGACAGCACAATCGGTCAGCGTGGCGCTCTTTATTTCTTCATTTTGTTATCTAACTGCAGACGGTGCGCTTACTTATTAACTTGCCTCGTCTTCTGTCCTCAGCTGTCTGGTGAAGATCACAGGTGACCTCACGATGTCCTTCCCAGCAGGCATCACTCGTATTTTCACTGCCAATCCCAACGTTCCCGTGCTCAGCTTCAGACTGGTCAACATCTCAAAGATCGATCACTTTCTGCCCAATCAAAAGCTTCTCTACAGGTCAGCCATCTTTTTGTTGCTTTTTAAGTCTCGGCTCTCGTGTCTTTATCGTCGCTGTCTTCGATGCTCCTCAGCGACCCGTCTCAGAGCGACCCCGACGCCAGAGACTTCTGGTTCAATATGCAGGCTCTGCAGCTGCACCTGCAGCGAGAGGCCGAAGTCAACCCGCAGGCTTCGTACTACAACGTCGGGCTGTTCAAGTATCAGGTCAGGATAGAAACCGAGGATGCCGCTTCTCCGTGACACCCAGAAAATAACTTCGCCTCGTTTTCTCAGGTGTCTTCTCAGGACCCGGGTCGGGCGCCTCTTTTGCTCTCAGCCGAGTGTCAGCGGAGCGGCACGGTGACCAGGGTCTCCCTGGATTACCACTGCTGCCCCGCCACCGCGCCCTCCACCCAACTCACTGCCGTCCAGGTGCTGCTGCCGTTGGACCACACTGCCACAGACCTGCAGTGCCAGCCGCCCGCCTCCTGGTGAGCAGACGTGACTTCTTTGGCGTATTTTAATTTATCCTAATTTTGTTCTACTTTAACATCCAGAACGCCTCATGAAGGCCACAGAACGACAGTGTCGGTGTGATTATAGGGAGCGGTGTGACCCCTCCGTCCAAAGCAAATTTCTCCCAAGGGAGACAAAGAAAGAGCGAAACGTTGACATCCAAATAATGACATAAATAGAGCAGCTTGTGAGATGCAGCAGGTATGACAGAGGTGCACGTGGTTGCAGTAAAGCAGCAGTAACTTGTGTGAGAGCGTGCTACAGTCAGAGGGGGGGAGGTCAGAGCTCAGTCTTCTGACAGTCTGGTGGATGAAGCTGTTCAGCAGTCTTGCCCGAATGCTTCGGTACCTCCTCCCCAAAGGCTCCGGAGGCTGAAAATGGAGCATGAAGGGTGGCGGGGGCGAGGCGAATGTTGAAAATGTTGTCCACGAGGGAGGGCGGCGAGGTTCTACGTTTACGGGTCTTTGAGAAGGAGGTTGTGAAGCCTCCGTAGCACGCGGTGATGCAGCCAGGAAGGACGCGCTCTGTGATGCCCTGGCTGAAGGAGAACGTGATTAGAGGCGGGACTCGTGCTTCTCATCGATTTGCAGAGGAAGCAGAGGCGAGTCGGAACCCAGGAGACGTCCTCAGAGTTCCTGTGGGAACTTGCTGCTGCTGCTCGCGGTCTCCTGCAGCACCGCTGATGCTCAGTGGTTGGTGCTGCAGGCTGGAGCAGTACCAACCACCAACAATACGATGATGCTGGTGATGCTCAGTCACACTGTAGCCCTGTGACTGTTTGAAGACAGGACAGTGAAAAGATGCTGCATATACACTTCCTGAGAGCTGCTATAAGTAATAAATGTATGGGAACTATGCATCATGGGTAAAGATATGTGCATGGTTAGCAGACTTCACTACTACTGCTGGATCTCCCTACAAGAAGGAAAACAGAAATGTCTGGAGGACTCTGGATGCATAAAATGTCCTGAGTTACACATTTACTCATGAAAAGCCCTGAAATCCTCTTAAATGGATTTTGTTTTTAATCTCATCGCTGTGCTGCTGTTTTAGGCCCTCAACACGATCATGTCCTGTAACGCGACTCCGTCTTTAAGGTTTCATAGTTCTGCATTCAGGTTTTGTAACAGTAGGCTGGTTGGTATCTAACTAAAAATGATTGTAGTTGATGCCGAATCTTAAACGTTCCCACTGCTTCAGCGTGGCAGGAGGTCAGTTTAACGTCGTCCGGCTTACGCTCCAATGAAATAATGGCGGAGCTTCATTAGGAGTTGTACCCAGTCTCTCCATATTTCCTGTTAATGTCGAGTCACTTTTTGTATCGAATGTGACACATCATGGTTTATTCTGTGTTTTTAGTCATTTTATTATCAGGACGCTGCCGTGGTGCAGCGATAGTCTTTGTCTCCTCACAGGAAGTGCTCCTCTGTGTGGAGTTTGCATGATGCACTCTGATGTTCTACTTTTCATCTCTCAAGCATTTTTCTGACAACTCCGCACAAACCATACAATCTATAGATGACTTAAAGTAGTTTCAATGGATTCTGAAATTTTCTGGGATTTTGAAATACCGTGCAGTGACACAGGTGCAGGATTATCCTAATATTGTCAGGCACAGCCCCATAATGTCAGGATGTTCCTTTCTTGTGCTTCTACTGCAGCTTCTCAATTAGAGCATATTTTCCTCATTAACTCATTAAGACCTGAACATGATGAATGTAAAAACAAAGAATTATTTTTTTGCTTGAGCGCCACTTATGAGGATATTTGTTTAAACTGTCGATAGAACAGTGGCACTATCAATGGCGTGTCCAGCGGGGTGGCCTGGGGGGGCACAGGCCACCCCCCCCAACCAGACTGGCCACCCCAGGTGCCACTCCAAAGGCAAAACAATAAAATTCAATCAAATATCAAATGTCCGATTATGTTTTCACGGTGAAGCTCAGATATCCGAGTGTACGTGAATGCAGCATCGCTTCTGCGCTATGTGCATCACGTTAGCAAAGGTAGGAGAGCCAAGCAGAAAGACGTCACTGCAGGAAACAATTTTTCGGTGAAAGAAAATGAGGACAGAATAAATGTCCTGGTAAGTAATATCAAGTTTGTTGAGTTTAGTAAACTTCGGTAAAATTAGAATACCAAGGAAAAAATAACACTTAAAGAATTATTGCAGCTGTGGAATATTTCAGACAGTATGCTACTGAGGGCAGCTAACATAAGAGTTATGAGTTATAAGATATAATCTAAGTCGTAACATTGCTGTATGGAGCTGCAGATTTGGTTGCAGGTTAACATAGCTGGACTGGCCATCGGGCTTATTTGACTTATTTTTTATTTTTTTTGTAATGGCATGAACAATGAGAGGTGGTGGATTGGCCAGATGCAGGTCGATGTGTAGAAATAACTCCGTTGTTTGGTGGTGGCTATGGCGGGGCTTCCACAGAGGCAACAGGTGGATGAGGGAAGGGGAGGCAGGAGGAGAGCCCCGAAGCAGCCGCCAGTCCGAGTGTCAGGTGAACTGAACTTCAGGTAAGAAGTTATGACCTGCAGTCTATCTGGGTCAGATATAAACCAAGTTTAGGTGGAGTTTATTTTCATGTTGCTGACTTTTTACTGTCAGTTGCAATAACTCATACTGCGTTCTAGCCAGCTTGGAGTTTTTATACAGCTGTTCGGTTGCTATGATGTTACTGATAGTGAACTTTATTTTATTCATAAGGTTAGTTAGTAGAGTTGCCAACGGCTCCTTAAAAAAATGGAATGGTCCCTCATTCAGAGAAAATATTACACGTTTCGTATTGAGCTGAGAAGAGACGCAGTTTGTCCCGAACTTCAGCTAGGATGGAAAAAGACACAAAGCTGGATTTATTCTGCATCTTTACGCTGCACAGCTGCCTCTTCTCTCATCCTCCCTCTCCTGTTGCTACTTCAATCATGAAACTGATCGATGATCAGCTGATCGGCTTTTCTCTCTTGTTTGTTTATCGCCCACTTTGCGCCAGAAAGACGAAACCAGCAGATGTTGCGCTAAACAACAGCAGCACGTTTAAGCTTGATCGGCTGTTGTTAGAATTTATTTAATATTAATTTCTAGTATCAGCTGATGTTTGCTGGAGCCACAGCTGTAAAGCTGCTGGTCATGATGTCGGTTTGGATATCTGGTGAGAGGGAAACGTGAAGACCACCCACCAGGATCCTTTTTTATGTAGCTGACAGCTGGTAACTGTGCAGGGGCTGGTCTAGCAAAGTTTTACCAGGGGGCCAGGTAGGGCATTAACAGGGAGAGGGGGGCACAAAGAAATACTTTTCTTTCCTATTCTCATTTAAAATATCTAGCTTTTATTAAATAATTATCTAAATCTTACAACCAAAGTTTTTATCTGACGTAAAATGTATAGAAATCATACATATACCAAAAAGACTGTACATCACTGTCACAACAGGGTTTGTTTTCATTCAAAGGCTTTATGGCTTTAATACCTGGTGGGTCAGTCTGTAGTCAAAATGCCCGATTTTCTGTCCCAGTCCAGCCCTGCAGGTTAATACTGGCAGTGTCACCATGCCAGCTGACTGTATTTCATCATCAGCCAGTGTTGTTCTTTATCAATATTACCAAAGTTTACGATAAGGCAGCATAGAAAGTATTTACTTGCTTTCAGGTTTTATTCAAATATTAGTCTTTTCAGTTGTTTCTCCACTTTTTTCCTGTTTCAAAATCAAACACCAGTTTGTGAGAAGATTATCTTCTTTTTTTAACAGGCAGAGAAAGTTTTGCATTGGCATTGGCTAATTTGTCAATTGTTTGCTACAAATGTTCGTATTTTAATTTTCAAAAATGTTTTTGCCCAAAACATATGTGCACTACATGTCAGTAAAAATACTATGCAAATATTGATGTCCTTGAATGCTGAGTAAACACTGACAAAGCACTGATTGTATCTCTTGTACTTTATCAACGCAGTATCTAAAAACTTTGCACCGTAGTGGTTAAAATCTCATTCTAATAACAGTTAAAAGTGCATTCGGTTATTAGGTTTACAGGATTATTGAATTATGGTTAATGGTTGGTAGAATTTTTTTTTAAAACATTATCTGCCAATTAAATCTGCCACCCTTCTCCAAATCTGTGCCCCTACCTGGCCCCCCCAACAAAAATTTTCTAGACACGCCACTGGGCACTATGTCCTCGTAAGTAGATGTCAGGCTGTTGTAGAGCAGAATTTGGTCTAAACAACCCAAAATGTGATGTCCACATATGTGGACGGCAGGTCCGAGGGCAGGGGTCGGCAACCTGCGGCTCTTTAGACCTTTTAGTGCGGCGCCGCGTGGTTTGGGAAAATAAATTAGTTTTTTTTTAAGTAATTATCTTTAGTGTATTTTATTTATGTTAGTTCTTTTTTAACTTGTAGTTCTAAATTGGAAGATTATTGTGATTTTGAAATATAAAAATAAAATTATATTCTATTATTTTTTGATCGCTCAAAATAAGCGTCACACTGGCGAAAGCCGGTGTACCCCCCGAAACGCCGTGCATTTATCGAGACTTTCGACCCCAGGTAGGCCAATTATGGATCTTCTGATCCACATTATGTCAGCAGCTCCACCGTGAACTATGTTAAAAACAAACGCCGCTCACGCCTCACAGACGACAGCTTACAGTCCTGCGTAAAGATGAAAGCCCCGACCTGCAGACGCTGTGCGCAGAGGTTCAGGAGCAGAAGTCCCGTTGTAAACATACCACGGCAGACCCGACGATGTTTGCATGAACACGCTTCATGCCTCTTTATTGACCACTTTTCACACACGGCTGCTGTTCGCACACAGCCGGCTGTAGCTTTGCAGCTCACAGCCCGACACACCAACACAACAGCATAGAGAGCACAGACGTAAAGGCGGCGAGGCGTGATTGCGGGTGCCGCTCAGGTGCGTCCGCCACCCCTGCAGCAGCGCTGCAGACCACGCCCCGCCACACACAGTAACCAGGTAAAATACATATTTAGGCAGAATTTTGCAAATATCTATTTTTCCTCTTTCAGCAGCTTCGAGCTTTTTTCCCCAGTTATTTTTTTAAAAGTCAGGTCAAGGCTCCAAAAGCCCAAAGGAGATTGCAGTTTTTGTTTGCTGGATCATTTTAGTTCAGCTGGGCGTCTTTCCTTTGGTTATATTTCTTTAAGAGTTCAAAATGTGTTCATTACATAAATAACATGTAATCCTCTCAGTAAAATTACCAAGAGTCTCACTGTTCAGGCTGTTTGCAGACAGCAGCAGAAAATCTGATAAAGTGGCTCAAAAGCGTCAGAGTGCAGTCATCTGCCAACTTCTCTGCTGGTTTAACTTCTGTGACCTTTGATATTAAACCACATTTGCTTTTACAGCCTGCAGCCACAGGTGGCGCCAAATCCATCGTCCAGATTAACGGTTATCGTCGTTGTCTTCTGTATTAAAGATGTTTAATAGGCTGGCTGAGGTCGATAACCCGAGACATTTGGAGGATGTTTAAAGGTTGGAGGTTCAGAGTGTTTTTGGCCTCACTGACTTTTTTCTGCCTCCGCAGGAACGCCGATGAACGCCGGCTGCTCTGGAAACTGCCCAACCTTTCCCCGACCAACCACAGCAAAGGTCAGGGCTCTGACCTTTCCTTCGTCTCTGTTTTTAACCCCCATCAAACCAAGAAACCTCGATTAGTTGATGCTCGACACCATTAACCGATTCGTTTTCTCCTCTCTGCATCACTGACAGTCGTTGCTCTCGGTGACTTCACAAACATCCGTGTCCTCCTCCCGGAGGTGTGCGTGGCAGCTTCTCCGTCTGGTGGAGATGAACAAAATGAGAGCGAAGCTGCTTCTGAATACTGAGCCGACTGATTGCATGACATTAATGGTACACAATGAGAGGCGGCTCTAATTTCAGCTGGGAAAGTCGAACATTTAAGTCATTTAAGCTGAAGGTTTTCTTCACCCGTGTGCGTCTTTGTACCCGACACCCACAGCTCTCCTCTGTGTCGCGTACCTAATTCTTCTAATCATATATTATTACCTCTATGTGAAGCAAAGGGCTTCACAGACACCGATAAGGAAACTTCACAGGACAAAGCATTGATAGTTAAAGTTGTGCGAGGTGGTGACAAAGCACTGAAAGGCTGCTTTAACTCCTTCCTGCTCCTTCGAATCCTTTTTGTTTCTTTACGAGTTCAATTGTAAAAGTGCAGCTTTGCATAAATGCTGCCTGACAGTCTGTCATCAGTTAGCTTCACCGACTGTCTTATAAACAGGTGTTGCTCAACTAGCATTTCTTCTTGTACGTCTTCGAACGCTTCGTCATACGTGAACGCGCACACCTCTGCGACTCTCGCTTATTCGTTTGTTTGCGAGTCAAACAGGTGAGCCGCTTAACTGCTCCTTAGCTCTGGTAACAGTCCCCCCGTTTCCAGAGGCTCGGCACAAACGAAGCAGACATCTGAGCGGCTGAATGTGGATCTCGTGTGGATATGAGGAGATGTCAGCGAAACTCTGGAGCTCCATGGTTACTTTCAACTTCCAGGCTTCTTTGGTGTTTTCCCTCTTCTTTGTAAAACCACGTTTTTCATTTATAAATGTGGCTTCTTTTGTTACATGGAAAACAAATGTAAACATTTAGGTGTTGTGTTTTAAGAAACTCCGCCCCTTCTTTGTACTTTATATCTGACAGATGCCCCAAAATGATTCTGCTCTTCACCTGAACTCAAAGCGTGTGTGTGTGTGTGCGTCCTGTTCAGACATCTTTGTGAGGACCACTAATTGGAGGTTTACTACTACAGTTAGGTTAGGGTTCGACTTCATTTTTCCTTGTCAGGGAAAACATGTCAATTAGATGTCCTCACTAAGATAGCAAAACGAGAATGTGTGTGTGTGTGTCTCAGTGAGGTAAACGGACCTTGAGAGTCACCGACTTCAAAGGGTTAGGTCTTTCCTGCTCTTTATCACTGCCGTGTGTTGATGTGATTCCAGGCTCGGGGACTCTGTGTGCCAGCTGGCAGTGCCTGGAGGTCCCTCGCGGCCCTCCACCCAGCCTGGCTGTTCAGTTTGTGGGCTCTGGGGCCTCGCTGTCGGGCATGGACGTGGAGTTGGTGGGCAGTCGCTACCGCATGTCGCTGGTCAAGAAGAGATTCGCCACAGGTGACTCTGAACACACTCACGAGGTTTCTTTTTACTAATAAAACCGGAGGTGGTGGCATTTCATCTTATTTTACACACTTTACAGTGCTGTGTTAGTCGTTAAACACTCTTCTTTATATTTTGCTTCAAGGAGACAGACTTTGTTGTAATTTTTTTAAACCTCCATGGACGTTGGCTGTTTAGCCCCTTCACTTTCAGTCCAGTCCAGCTGTTTTCAGAGGAATGTCTTTGTGTTTAAAGCCCCCAGCACTGACCTGAGAACCATTCAACTTATTTTTAAGATTTTCTTTTTATCTGTAATGGAAATAATGCGAGTATTAGTATTCCTGTCATTTTGATATTATTTTGTGGCCGATGATATACAGGTGCAGGACAGTTAAGCATTTCCTTTCTAACGCCGTTCTCATACTTTAAATCGAAAGCAGCTCAGTTTAGCACGATGGCTGCCAACAGCAGCTGTACGCTTTTACACTTAGTCTTTATACTGATAACAACATCATTTTTAGCAATCTCTAGAGTTAGGCTAACACTTGGTGCTAAGCCGGGTGATTTCTGGCTCCAGCTCAATGCTTGAATAAGAGACTGATATCATAGAGAAGCTCCAGTTCGAGTCCACTTTGTGTTTATGGATAGCATAACAAAATAGGATCTATTCTTTTTTTTCTTTTCCCCTCAATAGTTTGATTTCTTAATCTAAACATTTTGCATGTGTGGCTTCCTTTCTGCCTTCTGATTATTCATTTATGTTCATGTCTCTGACAGGGAAGTACATGGCGGGCTGCTCCTTGTGAATCAAACTAAAGGACCGTCAGGTTTCTGAACGGGGATCGCTGAAGGTTCAGAGAACTTTGCACTTTCAGCGCCTGAGTCGAGGAACTCGCTTCCTCCCGTCAGTGTCCTGCTGCTCTCGGACCAATTCTTTTCTCTAATTTATCCCGTGTGCCGTCGTACGTTCAGCTGTCCTCCTCGTCCAGGAAGAAAACTTTTTCCTATTAAATCTGTGTCCGTGTTGTTCTGTACGCCTTTGTGTCAAAAGACTGCAGACTGAGATATGCTGTTGATGACTTTTCTTGAATTAGAGAAAAGTGTGAATAAAATAAAACTTTACTGTCCATGAAATCTCTACAGCATCGAGTCAGTTATGAGCAAACATCTTGTACAAAACCTTATAAAAAAACTTGTTTGTAAATCTGATGTTTGTGATGAGATTTGATAAAAATAAAAGAAGTGCTGGAACGTTTGGTTTTTTTTTGGTTTACATCGATTTATTACACTGTGACCAGGTACAAAATACAGCTGAACTATGCAGTTTATTACAGACCGTCATCTGTCCTTAAGCTAGTTAAAGTGTAGTCAAGAACAGGTTTAAAAATACACAAAAATAAGGGTTCAGTATACTTGTAAGAACCTAGTTCAATAAAAAATAATCCTCCGTCAAAAAATCTAAAACAGCCTTACAAAACATTACAAAGTACACATAGAAATTATTCTTCCCAAAGCACTTTAAGGCAAATTACTGTGACAGGCACAAGTTACAAAAAGCCTTAAACTCAAATTCAAAGATTCCCATTGCTACAACAAAATCCTCTGTGAGGGAAACGAGGAGGGAAAAAAAGAACCAATTTCAACACAAAACTCCATTAAATCAGATTAGTCCATATAAATAGATTTTATAGTTTTTTTCCTTACGTCAGTTTAATAGCTTACGGAGAGCTTCAGCGCTGCAGTAATAATTAAATTTCATTACATTGAACAGTTGAGATTGGATACAGATTCATCACACACGCCAGTCTAATCCGTTACACATCAAAGCATTTCTTTCTGATACAATGTGACCAACCAGGTAACAGCATGAACAAAGATTAGGCAAAGACCAAAGGCCACGAAGCACACACTGTCTACATCATAGAAAGATAGATATATATATATAATTTATGGATTAATTCCCCAAATAACGCACTGGATTTTTCTATTTCAAACAAAACGTAAGACTTGAACTCGGTAACAGCGTGAGGTCAAAGGATTCGGGGAGTGCGCGTCGGCTGGGACGCCCACGAGATCGTTTTTGGTTTCGAGGCGTTTGATTCGTCTTGAAATGAGCGAGTCCAGATTCCAGTTCAGGGGTTAACGTCCCGTCTCCGTAAAGCTGATTACTGTGGATTTGTTCTGACTGCGTGGCAGCTGAGTAAACTGCCACAGAGCCGTCGCGACACTCAAACCGTGAGGAGGAACGAGGAGAACTATTTACATTTTATAAAAGAACCGGGTGAGGGACACGAAACAGTGGCTACTTTTCATTTTTTACTTTCATTTTTTGTTTTTTAAATAGTTGCCTCATCGCGTGAGCCAAATGAGGCACAGCATAGAAATCTACTGAGGTAAACGGGTCAACGTGTTACACAGCCAAGCTAACAGCAGGAGCTTCCTGCCTTACCGACTACTGCGACATTACGAGGTCCTGCCTGACACACGGAGCCGGAGCTGAGGCTCGGCCGGTGGGAGCAACTGAGGAGAAAGGTCCTTTGGGTCTACAGGTTGCATGTTCTTGTTATTACCCCCCCCCCCCCCCCCGCCTGCCCAGCGTTCGCTACGAGCTGCGGCAAAGGCAACGAGGAGAGCACACCTACACATAATCACTGTTAAAGGTGCTTCGAATGTTTGAGGTTTGGAGACGATACATTCATACTGCGGTAGAGGCACAGCTGAGGGACAGACATCTCAAAGTTAGCAATCTAAGGCACTCAAATGACACTATGGCACAGCTAGTTAGTCTTAAAAACAAAAAGAGGGAGGATGAATCACCAACACCACACATCCAGTAAAAAAGGAAAAGTACTGCACACACTCATTGACAGTTGCCGCAAAAACAAAGATGCTCAGACCTGTTGCAGAGTGGCGTAAAAAGAAACAACCCGTGAGCTTCTCGTATTTATAAATGCTAGTGAGGGGAGAGCTGACATTGCTACACTCTTGTCTATGTACATTGCACACACTGACTGCAGGAGGATGCTCGGCCCAGGGGCCAAGAGCGGCGACCCGAAAGGCCTAAAAAAAACAAAAACAAACGAGTGAGATGCTGGTCGGTGTGGCTCTCAGTCTGACCCCGTTCACACCAGACTCACATCTCCTGCAGAGGGTGGCTCATTTCGATCCTCTCTCTCTTCACGGCCGGTTCAGTCGGTCCTCTGGATGCATCGGCGTCGCTGCCCAAATCACTCATCTCATCTGAGAAAGACGCATCTGCAGAGACGCACACGGCGACTGTCAGTGTGAAAGCAGTGACCAGTAAAACTACAATACAGTGAAATGCATTCCTAACAGCACCCAGAAGGTTGATGCTGTTCATCTGGACTTAAACTGAATTGTATCAAATGAAAAATGAAGATGAACCTTTTTCCATGAGTGAAGGCATCATAGAGGTCAGGTCACTGAACTGTAATTTAGATGAGAAACTGTCAGTCGCTGCATAACTTAAACTATTCCTTCCTCGCTCTTTAAACACTCTCACCTCTCCCATGACAGCAATAGGAGTTTCTCCAGTGGCCTGAGCCACGCGATGCTCCACCAGGTAAAACATGTACTCGTCGTAAAGAAGGCGAATAAGGTGGAAGGAGCCGAAGCTGGCTGCACTGCGCAGAGTCAGATCTCTGATCACCATGGAGCTACAAGAGAAGGAAAGATGTCACGTCAAGGAGCTACAGGGAGCTTTACAAGCTAAAGAACGTTTCTAAAAACACCACGCAGTCGGCGGCTTATACTGGAAGTGTGAACGGAGACGAGTCAACCACACCGACCTGTAGAAAGACCATTTGAGCAGGAACTGGCGTGCAGCTTTGGGGAAACTGGGGCTGCCCTGGTGAGGCTTCAGAACCTGAGAGACCACGTTATCCAGCCAGGTGGCCCACTGGTCCAGAGAGCTCTGCTGCTGCAGGGTGACCTTAAAGTCCTGCTCCAGACGCTGAACCACACTTTCGTCGCACTGACACACCCACGACGCCTGCTCCTGTTAGACACAACAAACACGCCACATTCAGCAACAAAACCCCAAACACGGTGTCGACACATTCCCTTCCCGTGTGCAACGCAAATATTTGTCTTTTCGATGTGAGGTTTTCCGCTCACCTGGACGTTGGCAAAGTCCACCCTGTTGAGGTCGGAGAGCATCTGGTTGATCTGGGAGGTGTTCTGGAGGACGGCACGCGCCGCCTGGGCCAAGTGGTTCAAACTGGTGTATCGTCTCAAAGTCTGAGCAAACGCGCTGACCACGGCCACCTGCGCACAGAAAATACACCGTGAGCCCGTCTGACTGGAATGAGACCGAACAGATGAACCGTTTGTTTTCAGGCTGAAAATCTGCACCAAAAATAAAAAGCACGGCTATTTTAAATGTCACAGCGATGCTTCAACATTTATTTATTTATTTCACACATGGTACAGCAATAATTCATTTCCCATACACAGCCTTCCTTTCAGTTAAAGTCACACTGTTTCCATGCATGAAAAGGAAGAAGAAGAAATTCTTACTGACACCTGCCTGTGATGTCTGTGACAATACAAGTAGGCAACCAAAATTACACTCTGACAATATTCTGCACATAACAAAACAAACAGAACAATATACTCAACAATGAGCAACACCACTAAATCTCAAACTAAAAGGATCATTTTTTCAACAATTAAATTCTGTTATTTTCAACTTCTTCATATTGCTTTATCATTTTATCCTTATAGCAGATTTTAAATGGAGAAACATTTGTTCTTATGCCTGTGACTGTTGGACACATTTGCCTTTGTGTGGTTCGACAAACTGATGGTTAAAATAAAACTTCCTTCTGCCGCACAATACAAATAAACTTTGTAACTTAAGGTTTTATTTTTTGCCTTAAACATAATAATTAATGTCTGTAATTTTAATCATTTTGATTTTATAAACAAACTATTAGTGTGTTCTTCATATTTAACATTATGCATAACTCGAAGCTTCTGTAATAAATATAATGGTTTCATATTAGTCACGTATGTATTCCCCCATACTTCAACACAATAGCTCAGATAAGGTAGAAACAATGAAAAATATATTATTCTCATTGTCTTGTAATCTAATATATCTAACATTACCCAGGATATAAATACTTTTAGCCAACTTTTTAACATGTTCAATATGAGGTTTCCATGGTAACTCGTCCACCATTACACCCAGAAAACAGATTTCTGTCACTCTTTCAATTATCACTCCCTCTATAGATAATACCATCGCTTCCTCCTTTACACGGTTTCCGAATACCATTACATCAAATCATTGTTTTATTTTTTATTTCAATAACCATAATTTTAACCAATTCTTTCAAGTTTTCTCCAGAACAATAGAAATTTGTATCGTCTGCGAACAAAACAAAGTGTAACATTTCTGACACATCACAAATTTTGTTTATATAGAAATTAAAAGGTTTTGGTCCTAAAACAGAACCTTGAGGGACCCCACAGTCTCTTTTCATTCCATCAGATGAGTCGGCTAAACACTGCACATACTGAAACCTATTATCTAAATAGCTGCTTAACCAGATCAACACTATTCCTCTCACATCATAAGTTCTTAACTTAGAAATCAAGATGTAGTGTTGCAGAGTCAAAAGCTTTTTTTAAATCAATGAAGACCCCTACAGTATATTTATTATGATGTGTTGCTGATGAAACGTCTTCAATAGTTTCCATTAATACTTCTGCTGTTGATCTGTTCCGTCGAAAGCCCTACTGACTTTCACTTAACAGCTGATGTTTTTCAATGAAACTATCAAATCTTTGTGCAAAGAGTTTTTCAAGCACTTTAGAAAACTGTGATAGCAACGATACTGGTCTGTAATTATTAAAACTGTCTGTCTCCTGATTTATAAAGAGGGATAACTTTTGCCACTTTCATTCGGTCAGGAAATACACCCGCATAAAATGAGATTAAAAATATAACAGAGAGGTTTGATTATACAATCCAAGGTCTTTTTTACGATGACCACGTCTCGCCCATCACAGTCAGTGGATGTCGTTTTTAGATTCTGCTACAATAGCTATGATTTCCTTTTCAGTGATTTCCTCTAAAAACACAGACTGTACCACTCTGCTCTCCATTCTGAATCATCCTGTTTTCTAATTAAGTTTGCCAGGTTAGGCCCAATATTTACAAAAAATAAATAAATTCATTCAACACTTCATTCATATCACGTGCGACCTTATTTTTCTTATTAAAGTAAGTAGGTAAATTTAAAGATGTATATTTATTACCCAATAAGTTTTTTTAAGATATTCCACGTACCCTTAATATTATTTTTGGTTTTGTAAAATAATTTATTATAATACTCTTCCTTAGCCTCTCTCATAATTAATACCAACTTATTTTTATCAACTTTATATTTCAGCAGGCTTTGTTCTAAGTTTTATATAATCTCTATACAGGTTATTTTTCTTTGTACATGCATTTTCTAGTCCTTTTGTTATCCATGGTTTACCAGTAGTTTTCTTTTGCTTATATAATACCAGTGGACAATGATTTTCATACAAAACCAAATAAGTATTTAAGAATGACTCGTATGCAGCATTGGCGTCATTTACATAAACCTCATTCCAATCTTCTTTCATAAGGTCTTGCCTGAACTCATTTATTGCATCATCATTTCTAATTCTTATATATCTGTCCACACACACACACGTCCTCCTTTCATGTCATTTTATAATCTAAAGTAACAAAAAAAAAAAAAAAAAAAAAAGAAACACAGGTAAATGATCACTTATGTTACTTTCCAAGCAATTCATGAAAATGTGATCAATTGAAGTAGCTGACTTTTCAGTTATTCCACTAGGTTTAGTAATCAGAGGGTAGAACCCTCTTCCAAATAATAACTCAAAAAAATCTGATGATGCCTTATGATTGGACGTTTTAAAAAAAAATCAATATTATTATCACCGCAAATACAGAATGTCTTATTTCCCTTTACCTTGCTCAATAAATCTTCTACTACATCTGTGAATGTTTCCATCAGTGTCCCAGGCCTCCCATACATACAAGTAACAATTAGATTCCTCTTTCTTTCCATTTCTATTTCTACTGTCACACACTCCATTAAATCAGCAATAGCCACAGACATATACTCAACCCGTTTACATTTCAAATCACTATCAACAAAAAGTGCCGGACCTCCTGCCTTCTTATTAGATCTATTTAATATAATTCATACCCATCAATGTGAAAGTCCCAACGCCTTTCCTCATCCATCCATGTTTCTGACAGTGCTGTCTCTTTAAACTTGCCTTTCAGATTATTCAAAAAATCATTGATCAGAACAAAACTTTTATAGAGGCTTCAACAGGTGAAATGAATTAATGAAAATGTATTGAATCTTCAGTCATTGTGATTGAGTATTCTTTAAATGTCTGTTATCCTTATGAAATACTCATTAACATCCGTACAAGTATTTCACCACATATTTTGAGAAACCACTCATACCTATACAGTTCTTTCTGATCCATAAATAACTGCGGCTCAGATCAATATCTCGTCTCTGCCCAGCTCCCATCCCAGTTCCATATCCACCTGCAGCTTCACACTAATACTCTTCCAGTCTACTGTCTCATACTTTGCCATTTTCCCCCTCCGACAGTCGGAAATAGCGTCTTTCATTGAATAAGTTCGGCTAGTTGTTAGCAAACACATCACAGACCTTCTGCCGTCCGACCGCAGCAGTGCAATCATCCCCCGTAGTTGTCCTGATCATGAAGATCCCTGATCATTACAACCTTGGCTTCTTCTGGTGTTCCGTTGAGCTTTATCATCACTTTGCAATTTCTCGTCCATGTTGCTTGGATTTTCTTTTCTTTACGCATGATACGGGCTTGTCTGGCAATATCGGTGTTCTTTTTTGTGAGATGTTCATTCACATATACTCCACTCCCTTTCAGTAGTTCAATTTTGTGTTTTCGATTCACAAATTTTACTACGATTGCTCGAGGTGTCCTGGCATTCTTTCTGGGGAGGGTGTAACACGCCGCGATGTTGTTGCTATGCAGGGGAAGTTTTTTTACTCGCAAAAACTCCACTACCTGACGCTCTAATGTTTGAGTCTCAGTAACTCTTGCATAGCTCCTGTGTTTGGTTTCCAAACCGGTAATAATCACGTCCTCCAGTCGTGCATGCTGTCCCTCCACTCTCCTTCCTAAGAGCTGGATTGTTTTAATCAAGCTTTTTAATGCTTTGATTTGGTGCATTAAAGTCGTTAACATTCCTCGTTGCTTAACTATTCTTTCGACGTCTGTTAAGCGACAGCTTAATTTCCTCCAAATCTTCTTCAATTTTTCTCATCTTTGCCATTTTTTCCTTTTTGTTTGTTTGTGTTTTGTTTCAGGCAAAATATATTCGACTTAGAATTAATCACACAGCCTATTCTGAGACGCCAATCTGGCTGTAGCTGCGTTCGCCATCTTGGTCACCTACATCACACGGAGACAGCTGAGGTGGTTTGGGCATCTGACGAGGATGCTTAATGGGCAGCTCGGGCAGCTGTTTCCGCCATGTGATACCTCGGGCCTCGGGGTAGACCCAGAAAACACGGGAGAGATTATATGGAAAGCCTCTGTGTTACCCCCAGATAAGGTGGAGGAGAGGGAGGGCTGCTGCCCCCACAACCCAGTGTCCAATAAGTGGATGGATGGATAAACAAGATTCCACAGTTTTCTGATAATTCACTGAAGAAATCTTCAGAAAAGAATTTTTGGGTAAACTTAAGGTCATATCACCATGCAGTGATACACAGATGGACATTTAGCAGCAGCGTATAAAGAACAGTGATGTACATGACTTTCACAGCCAGTAATAACACATAAAGCACAATAGTAGACTGTATCCAACCTCTGTAGGTAGTGGGCAGGTGCATTCATAAAAAACAGATCACTGTAGTGTTGAATGAAACACTGATCACACGAGAGTTTGAAAAGTTCACAGCTGAACATTTGTGGAAATATGATTTTAAAAGCCTACTTGGAGAGTTGCTGGGTTTTATAGCTCACATAAATCATGTGCATGCATGCAGACAATCTGAAAAAGACTTCTGCTGATACCTTAGTGCGGATGATCTCTTGTGGAAAGCTGGTCATGGCATTAGTCAGCCAGCCCTCCAGACTCTTGGCAAAGTTACGGATGGCCTGAGTGAGAGTGCCTGAAGAAAGAGAGCAGCCTGGATTATCATTACTGTCCCCACTCTGCAGAAAGCCTTTCAGCGAGAGTGTAAACGCCGTACGCTGAAAACAAAGAAATGCCTCTAATGTGTCAGCATGTACGTCAACACAGCGAGCCCCTGGTCCTAAATTCATCCTGTTGTCACTCATCAGTCTTAACTCTCAATATATTGCTTTACTTGTTTAATTTTTTTTTTTTTTTAATCATTTGAATGAAATCCTCAGCAGTACTGACTGGGAACAGGTCGCAGCACGTCGGGGATCAGGATCTCCACCAGGGCCTGGTAGAGGATGTGATCGCAGCTCCTCATCCACAGCCTGACAGGCTCATATTTACACAGAGCCACCAGCTTCTCTGTGGGAATCACACCTTCCGGTTCATCATCACTACACGCACACGCACGCACGCACGCACACACACACACACACACACACGCACACACACACACACACGCACACGCACACGCTTTTAAAAATAACGTCCGCCTCACAAACAAAACTGTTGCTCGTAATTCGAGTGAAAAAGCAGTAATCACAGACATGACATCACAGGGTCATTTAATGCCCTGGCGTCAAACACTGAAGCCTTTTTCCCCCCTTTTTCTTTCTGACCTGCTGGGAAGGGTTGTGCTTCCATCACTAGGTGGCGGTGTTGAATACCAAAACGTCTGCCAGAGTTTCTCAATGTAGTGGAACTGGAGGTTCATCACCACATCCAAAGTAGCCTGCAGGAGGGGAAGCAGGGGAGGGAATTGAGGGGGAGGGAACAGAGGAGGGAAAAAGAGAGGGAGGAAGAAGGGGACAAAACACACAGAGCTGAACCATGGCAACCAGACACACAACAAAGTTTCTACAGCCAGGCGGGCTGCCTCTCTCTCACTGCAGGTCCTCCTGGTTAGACAATGAGCCAGCTCAAACACAGCTCCCTGCACATTAATCACCAGCAGAATCTTAAAGGCCACGCTCGGGCTTCATCTGGACGGGTCGTTTTATGCTTTTTGCATTTTATTTCACATAGATTTATGCTTCCATCTGCCTACTTTTAGTGACCTGCGCTAACCCATGTGACTTCCTTTTTCCTGTTCAGAAACCCCTTTGAAAGGAGAGCATGCTGCATACAAGTGAACACTCGAGCACAAAGGAAGCAGTGGCAGGGTTCAAACCTAAAATGATTTGCCGCTTCTATAACTAGAGTCAGCACATAACCCCCCGCCCCCTCGAATCCAGCGCTGCGCAGATTTTTTGGGGCTGTTCATCAGGTCAGAGGAGGTGAGAGTCTGGACTCCACCTGAAGCAAAAGGTCAACCTGACAATCTGAAACTGTCCACGCCGAGCCTCTGCTGAACTGAAAAGTTTGATTTGCACCGTGAAATTCTCTGCTTTCTCTATCTGGCAGGACACGCACTTGCTGCTGGATCTTGTTACACAGCAGCGTAGGCTCAAATCACATGATATGTTTTTGCTTCCTCTCCAGCCATCGCCATGGCAACCGTGTTTACAGTTGCCCCCAGCAACAGGTCAAACACAGAACTCCAAAACAAAAAGGAGAATTTCCCATCCCCTCTTAAACAGGAGCTTTTCGCGTCCAGTTTTATGTGCCGCCCCCCCACACACACACACACACACACACAAATATAAAAAACATTTAAAGTATAGGAGAAAAAAAACAAAAAAAACAACGTGTTCATGTGCAGAGCTCAGACAGACAAGCAGGCCTCCGGTGGAGCTTCCTGAATCTTAACTGCTTGTTTCTGTGCACTCGCACAAAAAGATCCTGTGATTTATTACCCTGCAAGGTTTACTGAAAACTAATCATTTATTCTCAAACGTTCATCCAAAGGCTTGGCTGACGCCTGGATATTTGGCTGTTACCATGACATTAATAAATACATGCCCCACACTGGATACTTTACAGCCCACTTGAAAAGAGACTCTTTACACTTTAGAGTAAAATATTATTTTTAGCTAAAATAATCATTATTTGTGTTGTAACATTAAATGATATCAGTAAAACCCTTGGCTAATGTGTTAATAGGTCAGTGTTCACACACACACACACACACACACACACACACACACACACTTTTTTTTTTTTTTTAAATAACAAAACAGGATAAAATGTCGAGTGCTTGAACATTAAAGACGCAGAGGCAGCGAGACTGACAGAAATGTGCCGGCTGCCAAAGCCAGGAGCCCGTGTGCCTGTCCGCCGACAAGGCTGCACAAAGGCCCAAGGGGAGGCCACCACAAAGACACCAAGATGTCCACCCAGTGCACTGAAAGGTTAATTGGCATGTCTTGAAAGCTGCACGGAGATGAAAAGACGGCTGGAACAAAGGGAGCGTGGTGAGGCTGGACAAGGGGAGGGCAGGGATAATACGATAAAGCCAAAGCTTTGCTGCTTTTAATCACAGCCGCTCGCCTGTCTGTAAAGACCCACGCTTTAATGTCCAGAATTATTTCTGCTCTTCTGCAATGTGGTTCGATACAGGTTGCTGAGGGCGACGCTAAATTTCACCCCGTAAGGTTCCCGTCGCACCTCTCTGTCTTCCTCCTCTTTCTCTGCACATCAGTTAAATGATATTTAAATGTCAGTGGTGTCGAATTGATTCTTATTCTCGAAAGCAACACCAGGTCACCGCAGCCGGGCGACGCCTGACCTCGGAGCAGAGGGCTGACATGGGTGTCAGTCTGACGAGGTGATCGCTATTTATGAAGGCAGGAGGTTTGTGGGATCGACTCAAAACGAACAGCAGGAAACTCACTGCTCGCTGATATGATATCTCACACTCAACTGCTGACTGATGCGTAAGAGTTTGTGACATAAGAATGAGTCATTACAGCTTATAATGCCACTAATTAAACTGCAGGCTTCCATTGTTTCAGCTTCATCCTGTTTAGCAGGTAATAAATATCAAAGCTGGAATTTATAACAGTGCAGTAATAGGCTCCACTCAAATGTGTTGTTCATGTGTTTGATGTGCAAAAGACCAAAATAACACGATTAAAACCAAAACTACACAGGACGCATTAATTGTTTCTGCAGATGAAAGACCCCCCCCACACACACCACACACACACACACACACACACACACACACACCTTTTTTCACTGTCAAAATGCATCTGCTTATTAAAAATTCATCATCGCTGTCTGTTATGTATATTCACAGATCTCTGAAGGTGTCACAAACATGGCACTTAATCCACTGAAAGTAAAGTGCAGAACACTCTGGTGGAGAGGTGTCAAACATAAAGCCCGGGGGCCAAAATTGGCCCGCTGGACAGCTATGATAAAAGTGAAGGAGGACAAATTTTGCACTTTTAACTATATTTCCACGAGTTTTACAGTTTTTCCTACTGATAAAGAATTAATAGATGAAAAGTCATGTTTTTTTTCCATTTCAGTTACAGTACAGTATTTATATATAACAAGGTTTTCATTGTTTGTTTAACATTTAACTATGTGAGAAATTGAAGCGGCGAGGCGAGGGCAGAGTGTACTGTAACTGGGAATGGGATGCTACAAAACTGAAGAACAAAGGTTCACGTGTAAGACAAATCCAGAAAAGAATACGGCTTCACTGTGACCCACCTCGCAGTGGTCTCTGTAGAGCGTCTGCAACTTCTTAATATCATTCATGTTGATGCGCTCAGGCAGAGGCTGGGTGCCCAAGTCAGGAGTTGGAAACGGAGGCAGGCTGTGAGACATATCTGCATAAATGTAGACAGGCGTCACTCATTTCACTCACACAGCAACAAGGAGTAATGACACATATGACATCAACTGCTTTATGGATACGTGCAGCTCATATGGTCTGCGTCACAGTGTCTGACATTTATCACCCAAGTTTAAAATCTATGTTCTAATAAAGCCAAGACGAAGCTATGACGTATTGTTATTGGAGATTATGTATCGGAATTTCAGGAGTGGGACCACGCCTCCAAACACGCTCTTTCCGGTTGTCATCTATATAGGTTCCCTCAGTTCTGCAAGCTGTTCATTCTCGTTTACGTGACCTCCCTCCCTCCTTGTTCTCAATTCTTTAACTTAATTTCTATTTAGTGCATGGGGATCTGCTAGACTGTCACCAGTCCCCAAACCGCAGCTCAATTCATGTCCAAGCATCACCTTTACCTACTAAAACGCTGTCAAACCTAAAATGAGGACGTGGACCCAGCTAGTGAAATAAAAATAGCTAGTGCTAGCATTAAAGACTGTATCTGGAAAGAGAAGATAAGAGTTAAACCACCTTAAGCAGTTTCAGTGGGAGCGCCTGTGCTTACCTATGTACTGCTGGTGGTGTTGGCTCTGAGCAGCCACAGACTGCTCTGGAGTGCTGCTGCAGTGCTGCGAGCTCCCACACAGACTGTCAGACATGCTGTCCACCTTCTGCAGAGGCTTGAACCTGTGTAGACACAAGAGGGTGGAACGTGTACATTAGTGATTTTTGAAGGTCTGGGGAAGCACAATGAAAGAATCGGACACTGAGGAGCACACGCACACATCGCATTCGGTACAAAACCGAGACTGATTTATGCGGGTTTATTGCTGATTTAAGCGGCAACTATCTATCCATTCTCTTCATTTATCCAGCGCCAGGTTGTGGGGGCAGCAGCCTATGCAGAGAAGCCCCGACCTTCCTCTACTTGGCCATCTCCACCAGCTTGTCAAGGGGAACACCAAGGCGTTCCCAGGCCAGATGAGAGATATAATCTCTCCAGTAGGGCTGAACGATTATGGAAAATAATCTAATTGCGATTTTTTGCCCCAATATTGCGATTGCGATGCGATATGCGATTATTTTTTAAGGTCTTTGTCTTCTGTATTATTAAACAAAGACAAGCAATACATCATATACAATACTATATTACATTAATTTTAAACTGTTCTTTCCTGGAAGACAGACCTCTGTTATGATGACATGAGGTGATGCATGAATTGATGACTGACATTTTTATTTAACTTCTTCAATCACAACAGTATATTTGAACATACACAATAGTTTATTTTTAGCTTACAAACATCTGAGCATAAAGTGCTGACAAGGAACCCTGGTGTAAACATTAAAATGAAAGTCAGTACAATGTGCAGATTGCAGAAATATACATAACAAAAAATCAGTGGCTTTACCACACTCAGTTTTTCGACATCTGTGAACTACTAGACAGTCATTCAATTAAAAAATAATATTAAATAAATAAAACTAATAAATAAAAAATACACACATCTTACTGATCTTTGCAGTCAGTAACATTACACATAAAGTGCAAACATAATAGCAATTGTATAAACACACACACAAACACGCCTTTAAAGTTTAAAGGCGTGAAATTGGACGGTCTAGTTCTGATTAGCGTCACCGCTGTCTCGGTGGAGTTTAATAAACTCGGCCGTCTGCTTCTTGCTATCTAAAATATAACCAGACACTGGTGTAAATTCTCGACTGTCTCATACTTCTGTTTTGTAAATGACCCAGATTATTTGTTTATTTGATATTTTTCAAACAGTTAAATCCCTGAACGAATTATACCTTATAATATAGATTAAACTCTTATTTTGAAATTCGTAACGGGCAACTTCCGGGAAGGAAGATCGTACCGCAACTGCTTGCCGCAGAAAGGATTAATGAGAAGGTTATCGTTTTCCATCCATCTTAAAATTAGCATCTAGCTGGAAGGCGAACAGGTATGTTTGTGTGTTGTACTTGTTGTTTACATTTCGGACAATTTGTAAATGTATTACTTGATTGTTAATAAGTTTATGAGCGATCTAGCAGGCTGATGCTAGCACCTCCTGTGCCTTTTCTGTGAATTGATTAGCATAACAGAAACGTGGTTATATCAAGTGAATGTTTATTTGTTTTATGTTATGATTACAGCTCTTACGATGTGTCTATGGCAATTTGTGAATAAATGGGTTGGAATACCCCACCATGGTCCATCCGTAATGATCATTGAGTGCATCGTCTGAATAAAGTCCGGCTGGAATGCTACATGTTTAATAAGTTTTCTGTTTGACGTTTAGTCAGCTGTGTGAAAACCAAGGAGGAACCACCCGGGGATTAATAAGTTTTATTTTATCTAATCTAATCTAATAACTTTAATCTCAGCCAAACCGATTTACTCACGAAACAAACAAAACACTGAAAAAAGCCCAACAATAACATTTTTAGGTTGTCTAAGTGACTTATATATACGTTTAACCCGAGCAGCGAAACTCCGCGTGATCTGAAAATGATGTGCGGGAGTTGTGCGTTCTCGGC